CTGAGACTGGGCGTGCTGAGCCTGGGGGTGTGGCGCCTGAGGGTACTGTGTCTGGAGGTGCTGAGCCTGCACGTGCTGCGTCTGGAGGTGCTCTAGGTGTCCCGTCGCGGCGGGAGCCCCTCTCTCCATAGCGGCTTCGTGAGTGGTACTCTCGGCGCTGTCGGGTTGCTGCTGGGGGTGCTGCTGGTGCTGCTGGTGTTGGAGCTGCTGGAGGTGCTGGTGCTGCTGGAGGTGGTGCTGGTGCTGGAGCTGCTGGAGGTGCTGGAGGTGCTACTGGAGCTACTGGAGGTGCTGGCGCTGCTGGAGGTGGTGCTGGTGCTGGAGCTGCTGGAGGTGGTGCTGGTGCTGGAGCTGCTGGAGGTGCTGCTGGTGCTGGAGCTGCTGGAGCTGCTGGAGGTGCTGGTGCTACTGGAGGTGGTGCTGGTGCTGGAGCTGCTGGAGGTGCTGCTGTTGCTGGTGGTGCTGGTGCTGGAGCTGCTGGAGGCGCTGTGCGGCCGCGGCCGTACTACGTTCCGCTCCTTCAGCAGGTTCTTGGCTCCCCGCCTCCTCATGGTCCTCCTCCTCCTTTCCTGAGTCCACCGCCTGTCCAGTCCCAGTCGCAGTTGCAGCCGGCCTCTCCAATGCCTGGTCCTTCTCCTTACTCTGGTCCGACTAGAGGTCTTACGGAGCGTCGTGAGCCTGAGTCTCGTCCTGCGTCGCCTGTCCGTACTGTTCGCGCTGGTCGTGTTTCGCGTCCGCGTCTTCCTCCTGTCCCAGGCACTCACTCTATGACACTGCGTCCTTCTACTGCTCCACAGCGTGTCCCTCTGCCCTCTCCTCCTGCGTCCTCTCTTCCTGACGGTCCGGACCCGGAGTCTGACTCCCTTTGTGCTGCTAGTCCTACTGTCACCCGCTTTCTGGCCACTGCTGTCACTGACCCTCTGTTTGAGTCCTCTGCTGCGTCTGCTCTTGTTGCTGAGCTTGTTGACTTTGCTGCAGCCTGTCGCCTAGACTACGCTGCTAGTCTTGTTGCTGAGTCTGCGTCTGCATCTGTCTGTCCTCCGTCCGTCGGGGGTGAGTGTGCTCTTGGCACGGACGTCCTTGAGGACAGACAGGATGACCTTGAGTGTTTTGCTGCTGCTTCACCTCATCTCGTGTCCATGCTGCTTGCCCCTGAGGGAGACCCGGATGCACTAGACATCCCGACCCCGCGCTCTTACGCAGAGGCGATAGAGGGTCCCTACTCCTCTCAGTGGCAGGCAGCCATGGACGCAGAGATGGCTTCCTGGAAGTCCACAGGCACCTACGTAGACGAGGTTCCCCCATCTGGGGCAAACATCGTCAGTGGCATGTGGATCTTCAGGGTGAAGCGGCCGCCGGGTTCTCCGCCTGCCTTCAAGGCGCGTTACGTTCCACATGGCTTCAGTCAGCGACAGGGAGTTGACTTCTTTCAGACCTTCTCCCCTACCCCGAAGATGACCACTCTTCGGGTACTGCTGCACGTTGCTGCTCAGCGTGACTACGAGCTCCACTCGTTTGACTTCAGCACAGCCTTCCTACAGGGCAGCCTGCACGAGGAGATCTGGCTGCGCCGCCCACCTGGCTTCACTGGGTCGTTTCCTACTGGTACCCAGTGAAGCCTCCGGCGGCCAGTCTACGGTCTCCGCCAGGCGCCCCGTGAGTGGCACGACACGCTCAGGACGACTCTTGCTGCTCTTGGTTTTGCTCCTTTCACTGCTGACCCTTCTCTGTTTCTACACACTGACGCTACTCTGCCGCCGTTCTACGTTCTTGTGTACGTAGACGACCTTGTCTTTGCTACTGCTGACACTGAGGCACTCGCCCACGTGAAGTCCGAGCTGCAGAAGAGACACACGTGCACAGACCTGGGTGAGCTCACAAGCTATCTTGGCTTGCGGATCACCCGGGACAGAGCACAGCGCACCATTACCTTGACTCAGTCACACATGGTGCAGCAGGTCCTTCAGCGCTTCGGCTTCACCTACTCCTCGCCACAGTCCACTCCTCTGCCTACCGGTCACTCGCTCTCAGCTCCACCTTCGGACGAGTCCGTAGAGCCGAGTGGCCCGTATCCAGAGCTTGTGGGCTGCCTCATGTACCTGATGACTTGCACACGACATGACCTCGCATACCCTCTCAGCCTTCTGGCTCGCTACGTGGCTCCTGGCAGGCACCGAAAGGTGCACTGGGATGCTGCGAAGACGGTGTTGCGATACTTGTGCAGTACATCGGGCATGGGGCTCGTGCTTGGAGGACGGGCTCGAGTTGTCCTCACTGGTCACGCTGACGCCTCCTGGGTTGACGACTTGGCTACGCAGCGGTCGTCACAGGGTTACACCTTCAGCCTTGGCTCTGGTTCTGTCTCCTGGCGGTCTACCCGCTCTTCTTCTGTTCTCAGCTCCAGTTGCGAGGCTAAGATCTACGCTGGGGCCATGGCTGCACAGGAGCTTCGCTGGCTCACCTACCTGCTGACCGACTTGGGAGAGGCGCCTCGTTCTCCTCCAGTTCTGTACGTCGACAACAAGGCCATGCTGGCCTTGTGTCAGGAGCACAGACTGGAGCACAGAAAGAAGCACATTGCTCTGCGTTACTTCCTTGCTCGAGAGTTGCAGCAGCGTGGCCAGCTTCGTCTTGCTTACGTGGCCTCTCAGGCCAACACTGCTGATGTTTTCACCAAGGCACTTCAGCCTTGTGATCATCAGCGTTTCTGTACTGTGTTAGGCCTTGTACCTACTGTGCCTCACTTGTTGACTTCTTGACTCTGCTTGTACTGTACTCTATATACTTATACCTGCATGCTTACACTTGCTAGGTTGTGTTCACTGTATTGTTTGCTTTCCTTTATATAACTCTGCATGTGAACTGGCCTTCTGGCCCTTTGCTTGTGCTCAGACTGTGTGGTGACTTTGTGATCCACCCTGAGTTTGCTTTGTATTTCTTGACTGGTCTTGTGACCCCTTGTTCTCCCCCACTTTGCCTATGGGGGTGTGTCAAACATATATTTACTATAGTCTGTCTAGGCTGTAGTGGGGTAGTCCTTAGAGGGTACAACACTTATGTGTTTCCTACTTGTACCCTTCTCATTTCCTAATTCATCATTCTTTCGTCTATTCTTTCACATCATATGATGGCTTGAGGAGTGCGTCAAGCCTTCTTTAAAGCCTGGGTTCGGGAGGCATGCGCGGAGCTCGATGGTCGTACTGGACTCGTACCGCGGTCACCTCACTGAGGGGGTGAAGGAGAAGTTTCGCGAGCTCAACAGCGTGCCGGCGATCATCCCGTCTGGCTGCACGGCTGAGATACAGCCCCTCGGCGTCTGCATCAACAAGAGCTTTAAGGCGAGCGTCCACCAGCAGTACCAGAAGCGGTTTCAGGAAGAAGGTGAAGAACAGCTAACCAGAGCAGGTACTTTAGGCACGCGAGTCCCTATCTTACGGTACCGTAGATGATTGTCCCCCCTTTTGTTGCACTAACTAAATATTGTGTGATTCTGTTGGTACAGGGAACTTGAAGAAGCCACCCCCAGAGGTGGTCGTGAGGTGGATCTCACGGGCCTGGAAAGCAGTGTCCGCATCAAGCGCGCCTTCCTCACCTGTGGCATCAGCAACGCGCTTGACGACAGTGAGGACGGCCTTGCCATGGCGCACAGGCGGAGCCAGCTGACCGCGGAGGTGGACGTCGATGACTCCATCATCGCCGACGACTTATTTGGCAACAACTGCCAGGATCCCGAATCCCACGAGGAGTCGATTTTCTAGGTAGAAATGGTATACTCTGTAATCTGTAGCTAGATAAAACTGTCAGTGATGATGTTGTAGGTGAAAAATTATCATGCTAATGTTTAGTGTTTATCAGTGATGTTTTTCTTGTAATGAGTTCTCCACAACGTGAAAAGGGTCCGTTTATAATACATATACCCTCTAGAGGGGGGGCGCTTATAATCGAGTCCCGGCCATAAGCGCCATGCTCCAGATAGAAGCGCCGGCGCCCTTAATCGGATGGCGCCTATATCCGGGGCCATACGGTAACATAATCAAAACCAAATACAATGCTGGTTCCAGACAAAAACTAACTACTTAGGGTACATTCCGCTGTGGACACTGTCCCAATCGATGTGTCCCAATCGATTGTGACGCGTACGTACAGCATATGCTGCCAGGTGTCAGAATGCCGGGCCGCCCGTGGTTGTCGCCAAATGTATTTATCATTGGGTGACGTGAAACACGGAGCAGTCGCCAGCTAATTGCAACACAGTCCATCAGTCGCACGCGGTGCCAAATGTCAACACATGCAGCATGTATCTAGACGACATCTCCCCAAAACCCACTATCCCCATCAACGCGTACACTGCGTAGTGATTGGTCCAGACGACACACCCGGAATTATTGACAGGGACGCGCACGTCCCCGCCAGCGCGCCTTCAGCTCCAATGCTCCTTCCCCACAACTCCTCCACCTCCCAACACCTTACGGGTTCATCTTTGTGCACCATCCTTCCTGTTCCAATCTGTTCATTTCTCTCTGCTCCTGCTCCCTAAAGATCTAGATCTAGAAGCACTCTACCCGCCAGCATGGCTCGTAAGCGTAAGGGGCAGGCCCTTAACGACTGCCCCAAGGATCTTGACGACATTCCTTACATCCGCTGGATGAACCAGCAGATCGCCAACGGGCGCCATCCGAAGGGATTAAGTTATAGAAATTCCGTAGATGGGAACATTATGGGTTATTGCTTTCAAACATGAGTGGCTTTCAGTTCCCATTTCCCTGACTGTCGTGCGCAAGATAATTGGGTTTGAGTGCGAGGGCATCAATAACTTGTTGGGCAATGCTGCTCATGCTGAAGATAATGAGGCAGAGGGAATTCAGGGCGTCCCACCTTCATCAGCATACTACAGTACTCCAGAAGCCCAACACGACACATGAATTTCATATTGCATTGCATCTTACATCAAATCCTGGTACCGTGATGACTCCAACCAATTGGTTATGGCTGGACATATATTATGCTGAGGCTGCAGGCTTGTAGCTGACCTCAGCCAGGGTAGCAGTGAGGGCAGCATCAGCTGCCAACACACTCTTCTCGGCCTGTCCACGAGCCTTGTTTGCCACCTTCTTCTCCTTGTAATACTCTGCCGCATCTGCCTTGCGCTTCGCCTCCAGCTCCTGGTACCCAGAACCACACGTTCATGGCACGCGCAAGCGCGCACACACACACCCACGCCCACGCCCACGGCCACACACATCCCCACCCGACCAAGACAGGCCGACAAAGACCGACACAAAACCAGCACAAGGAGAGCGCAGGGCAACACAAGGCATGAGCTTCTACAAGTAACGAGGTGCAGCATCATACATTCCACTGTATGTCCCCACACGATAAAAAGAGCAGAAGGAGGCAAGGCAGTGCTCACCTTGACAACATCCCAGTAGTGCCAGCCGACTTCATGCGAGAGGTGGCCCAGCAGACAGTACTTGTGCCCAGGCTTCAACCTCAGCACCCTGCGCACACCACCACCCCACCGCACCTCACCACGCATGAGCACGAATCGCGGGGGCGGTCCGCCATTACATGCACCAAGGGCGGGATTGAATGGATAACAACACGTGAATGGATGAGAACCCTTGCTCGGGCATGGAGGGAATGGAGGGGATGGATGGGGTTGAAGGAAACAGATTGGCGGATGGAGCATGAGGGAGAGTGGGGAGGGGCGTGTGGTGGAGGGGAGGGTGGTGGAAGGGGTATTGGGAGGGGAGCTGACTTGAGTGCATCGGGAATGACGAGGCGCTTCATCTTGTCGTAGGGCGCGGGGATGCCCTCGAACGCCTTCAGGCGGTCCAGCGCCGCTGCTCCGCGCGGAATCTTGTGCGGGATCATACTGCGCGCGCACAACGCGTTGACAGGAAATGGAGCCGGGAGCAGTGACAACGCATGGGTTGAACACGAGGTTTTCATCGAGCAAGCAGGGAAGTGGGAGAAGAAAGGGGAGGGGAAAGAGCGAGGTGGGGAGTGGGGGGGGAAGGGGGTTGGGGGTGTCTTGGCGGGGAAAGGGGTGAGGTGTAGGGAGTTTAAGGGGTATGGGAAAGGAACTGGTGAATTAGGGTTGTGAGGACATAAACTTTCCAGCGTGAAACACCCATGCAAGCGTTAGAGCATCTAGAGCCGAACCCTCCAGCCGACTCGCGCGCACAAGCCGCATGAAACCCTCAACCCTCCGCGCACGACCCACATTCCCCACCTCGTGTTCACCCCTTCCTCTTCCCCTTTCCCTCCGTGATCAATTCCTTTGTGCCCATTTCCCCCTCCGCTTCGCACTCTAGACATCAAACCTTCCACCCCCCCATTCCTTCCGCGACCCCACTCCCCTAGTTCCATGTTTCTAATCCCCGTGGCACGCCCCCGAAACTTGTCTTTCCCCCCGCCCCTCACCCGCGGATGGTGCGCCAGAGGATCTTGGAGGGCGCGCGGAAGTGGAAGGGGCCCTTGGAGGGCTTGGTGTTCATGCGCTTGCGCAGGAAGCGCAGGTACTTCATCTTCTGCCGCACCAGCCCGCCCGACAGGCAGATGTCCTCGCACCGCACCACCACCTGCGGCGCGGAAGGGGTCAACAGGGGGTGAGTGGGGTGAGGGGAGGGGCGCGGGGGGGAGGGAGGGGAGAGAGGGGGAGGAGTCGAAGGGGAATGCGGGAACATCGAGGGAGGACGGGGTGAGGGAGCGGATGGGGATCATGGGTGAAGGGATGAGAAACGGAAGAGACGGTTGGAGAGAGAAAAGCGACAGCGCGAGGATGTTTAAATGCAGGTCGGTTAGGAGGGGGAGGTGGGGGGAGGAGGGGGAGGGTGATCTGCGAAATAGAGCGGCAGGTTTTGAGAAGCCTCCGTGGAATCAAATATTAAGGGTAGTTTCCAAGCGATCATAGAGACACCCTGAAGCATTGCGCATGGACTAGCAACGTCAAAGACATGGCATAGTGAGGCTATCGAATTGGAGAACTCGCCACTCATCGGCTATTCCAATGGAATATCGTGCGTAGACCTGGTGCAGTCTTCGTGGAAATCGGTGATGTTTAAGAGACAACGAAACTGGCTGATTAAGGATGATCGAATCAGTCCAGGAGCAGTCCAATTATTGCGTTAACGATCCGAACCGCTATGCCGTTGGATGATAGGAACCGGACCCTAGAGCAACCTATGGCGTCCGAGCGGTTGGCAGGACAAAGAGTAATGCGCCAACACTAAAGCAGGTTTAAGGGGAGCGTCACGGCTTGTTGATGAACTCGGTCGTACCGCAGTGTGGGCCAACAGACGAGAGAGAGGTGAAGCTGATGCGGATCATAAACCTCCTAATAACTGCGGCTCAAAGTGTTTGAGACGTCTCAAGAAAAATCTGGGTCACATGCCGCTGCTTGAAGTATCGACTACAGATACCATGCGTACGAAAGCGATTAGGAATCAGCCGGCGGAATGGAGGCCATGCTTAGGAGCCAGTGCTGTTTGAAGGGTCTTATATCCCCCCTGTCGAACGAAAACCCTAATTATGTAGTCCAAGCCGAACCCTTATTCTAACGACGCCACGCCGCTTACCACATGTTGTCCGTTAAGAAGCTCCTTTGCGACGATCGACGCGAGGCGGCCCAGCATGTGGTGGCGCGCATCCACCACCACCGTCTGTTTGATGATTCCGCTGCCAGAAACCATGGTGGCTAACTCGGTGAGGGGAGGGGAAGGAAAGACGGAGTGAAAAGAGGAGGTAGGGAGCGAGGAGGGTTGCCTTAGAGACAGTGAACGGAGGGGAAAAGTCGGGGGGGAACTGGGGGAGGGGGTGTGGGGAGGATAGGCAGAATGAGGTGAGGATGCGGGAAGTGGTTTGCGGGGATGGCGCGGGGAGACAAAGGTCGCGTGTCCTTGATAAAGAAGGACGCATTTCGTTTGAAGGCAGATTCGTTTTTGCTGGGCTTAGGTTGGATGTTTGTAGACGAAACTATAGCTATATCGAAAGACCATTACATATGAAGAAACTCCCGCGACAACTCTTAACTGAAAAGTGAGTCGACCTTTGTGTGGGGCAACTGTTGTGGGAGCAGTTGGTGGGACGGATCTGGTCTGGGATCCTGGTTTGAGAGTGGTGAATCAGCATGTGCTGGCATTGCTTTGTTCCAGTGAGCTACTCACGTGCCGACACATCTGCGGGCTTCCATTCCGCATTGGTTCACGCATCCGAGACGACGTGGCAAAATATCATTCGGTATTTGTTTGGGGCATTCGAGGCATTCCATTGCTGCACTTTCCATTGGTCAGCAATCCCAGGAAATCATCATGAATTTCAAAGAGAGAGCTCAGCTCATTGGCGGGTGCATAATAATCAGGATGGAGCCGCGAATCACGACGGGGGTACGTTTCCAACTTTTCAGCGCTTTTCCACTTCTTCCTGCGTTCTGAATGCTGATCCCTCTGAACCCAGACTGAAGTCCCGTCTTGACTCCCAACTCCTGTCCCGACTCGACTGTATTTCCTCCGACAACTAAAACCCCTGCCTGACCCCACAGCAGTCCAGCTACAAGCAAACCTGCACATCCACCCTCCGCCGCAAACGCTCGTATCTAGGATTCTGAGTATGATTGAAGAGGACATTCAGATTCATTGCATTCGCTCTCGTGCTTTGCTTTGAATAACGTATTCATTTCGAGGGAGAGATTAGAGAGAGGGATTAGAGAGCTTAACTTGAGCATTGCTTGCTACTAACTTACACTCTCTCGGCCCCTTCTGGCTTCTGAAATACTCGCACCGTTCAGGCCTGTTCTCGTGTGTGATTGAAAGGTATAACCTTCTTCGAGAATAAAAACACTCCACCGCGAAATGGCTGCGATTGCGCAATTAGCGGCGGGAAGTGCGATCACCACGCTGCGATACACGAGCTCATCGAGCAGCCTGTTCGATAAGAGCAGATTGCCACAGCTTACATCGGGACATCGCGCGAGGAGCAGGGTGAGCAATCGTCGTCGCGTGCCGTTGTCACAGCGCATCACCAGCAAGATGGTTATTCCAGGTCCGTTGTCTTGCGGGTTCAATGTTCATTTTACCCCATCACCCCAACTCCCTGCCCACTACACTTCCCCCGTCGCTCCTCACGCACATCCCTAACCACTTCTAACCACCTATCCTTCGTACACCCCCCCTTGCCCGCTGCGCTCCTCGTCGCGCCGCGCTGCTCCTAACGGAACAGGGTTCGGCGAGTCGCCCGAGGCGAGGTCCGCGGGGGCGCTGCACAACTTCTTCACCTACATCGCCGTGCGCATCGTGCTCTCGCAGCTGCAGGTGCGCGCGCGGGAAGGAACCGCGAGAGCAAGTTTCGGGGGGGAGCTGGGGGGGGGGGGATGTAGAGGGGAAGGGGGATGGAATGTAAGGAGGAAAAGGAGCGGAGGAGAGTAGCAAAGGACTGTGAGCTTTGCGCGTTGGGTTCTTGGAGTGCGGGGAAATTATGCAGGGGAGTCTGGTACGATGCACTACGAGCCTGGATCCCATGCTTATTGTAGGCTACGGCCTGTTCAGAACCCGCCGATCTGGGACTCTGGCCTTGTATGAACGCCTGTTTCGCTTCGCCTCGTCTACTAGCGAGCGTGGAACGAGGTTGCTCATGAATTCTCGGTCTCTATCGCTCTCTCCTTCTGTCCTCGCGTTCCCTCCTCGCGTCCCCGCTGCCGTTGGTCTCCCAGGCGTACAACCGCGAGGGGTACGCGGAGCTTAAGGAGTTCACGGACCGCGTGCCTCTTAAAGACGGCGACCAGTTCTGCGCCACGCTCATGCGCGAGAGCCCTCGGCACAAGAAGTTCGGTAAGCACTTGGTAGAATCCCGCTTAGTCGCACGCACGCATGCGCGCAGCCCGGTACATGGCGGGGACAAGTGGGGTTAATCCATAGGACGGATGATAGCGGAGGAGAAGGCACTGGGGTAGGAGAGGCATGGTGATGAGGGCTCCACGGGGAAACCCGTGAAAGGCTTCCTAAACTGCAATTGTATTCTTAGAAAAACTTCGTTAATTCTGAGCTTCTTGTCTTTAGAGCTCCCTCTCCGCTCGTTGTTCGCTCTCACTCACCAAGTTCCCTCTCCCTCTCTCGCTCTCCCTCCCTCGTGACCCAACACTGTATGCGTTCCATGAGCTGATGGATTGGATTTTACGGAATCTTCTACTGTTTCGCGGCTTGACTCTGCTTTCGGCAGCCATGAGAATTCTCGAGGTGAGTCGCACGCTGTAGCCACTCCACTGGGTGGTGTGGTGATCCTTGCATCGTTCCGCTACTCTCCGTCTAGTTTCTGAGGTGGGATGACATGTGTGACTGTGTCGGAATTTCGAGCGTCTGGTGCGTTTGGTCTGACCCACCCCATTGTTGTGCATGGCAGGTTCGGCAAGCTTACGCGCTGGAGGACTTTGAGTGGGAGAACCTCCGATCCGTGTCTCTCAAGGTGGGCACTGGACATGTGGTTTGCTGGCACTATGTGGCACGATGGCAAGTTAGCACGATGGCATGATGGCATGATGGCATGATGGCATGTTGGCATGATGGCATGATGGCATGATGGCATGTTGGCATGTTGGCACCATGGCATGATGGCATGATGGCATGTTGGCATGATGGCATGTTGGCATGATGGACATGATGGCATGAGGGCATGAGGGCATCTTGGCATACGGCTTGTTGGCATGTGATATGTTGGCACGATGCTGTGGTGGCATGGTAGCATGATGATATATTGTACTGATGACAATTTGGCGTGGTGGGTGGTATGCCAGACAGTCTCATCAGAGTTCTCATTTACCTGTTATGGTCTCCAGGCAGCCAATACCAGACACCCATTTGATACTGATGTTGTCATCTGCGCTCCCATGCATCCCTGTGCCACCAGCGAATGGAGGAGGGCAACAAACAGTTGATGCGAGATTTCCTCATGGAGACCAGCCGCTTTGATTAGCCATGCCTCAGCCTCATCATAGGATGAGTGCACCTGCTGGTCCAGCAGCTTGCAGTCTCAGAGCGTGAATATATATTTTATGAGAACATGGGCAGCAATCTCACTAGATAGTCTTCAACTCTTTTGTTCATGCAGGGAACGGTTAGCTCGAGCTACTGTAGCACAAAGTGAAACAGATGTTGATTAGTAAAGTCCCGTACTTGGTAAAAAGCTGGTGTATGTACATACTGACAATTCTCTCTTGTCAAACATTCTGCTAAGTAACCATAGTTGAAAGGATTACAATACTAACACACACCATGTGAAACACAGTTTGCAAGAACCATATAACGTGAACCTCACCATCCAACTGATCAGCGTGGAAACTGCTAACCATCAGTTCAACTTCAGCAACTGAGTGCAACAATGGCACCTCTGCAGCAGTACCAACCATCCCATCCGTCCAACAGGAACAGCAGCATCACACCTCCGCATTGGCTGCAGCAGAAGCTGCAGCCGCTTCAGCCTCCCGTTGCTCCAGCTTCCAGGCACGCACCACATCAGCAGCCTCCCTGTCCCCCAGCAGCATATCTACCTCCACCTCGTGTGCCGGCAGGTAGCAAGCAGACACCCCAACCGCCTGTGCCAGCTGCAGCAGCTTGAATAACGCCAGCGAGCTCAGGTTCGTCCCTGGAGTCTTGAGGCAATCTGAGACCCGGTCTGTGAGCATGGTGAGCAGGAAATCCACTTTCTCCAGGCCCTTGACCAGCTTGCCCGTGCTGTCAGAGAGGGTTTGTGCAGGCCCCTTCATCCTCTGCACGCCTTCCAGCACCTCTCCCTTGTCCCGATAGACTGTGAGTGCCTGGGCTGCCTTGTTGGCGTAGATTGTGGAGCCACCAGCACTCGCACCAGCTGGCACATCCAAAGAGGAGCAAAGAGCGAATTCGGTAAGGGAAAAGAGCAGGGAGGGGGAAACAGAGGGTGAGAACGGATAGACGGAAGCAAGACACGAGCATGGCATAAAAATCTTGAAACGATCGACAAACGATGCACAAACGATGCACGTGATGATCGCACAACGGGCACGATGATCACACGTGGGGTCTTACCTCCTACCACGGCTGCAACACCAGCACCGACACGAGCGCCAGATATGGCAGCACCAGCGATGATGGCAGGTGCCTCGGCCAGGAGCAGAGGGGCTCCAACCAGCAGCGCAAGAGCCGCCCCACCAATCCCAAGCCACAAGCTGCGCTTGCTGTCTTGCTTCTCTCGCTGATAACAGGATAACAACCGAGTTTCAAAAGGAAGGAAAGCAGGAAGGGAGAATTAAGATAGAGAAAAAAAAGCACAAGGAGCAAGAGAATGCGGAGGGAAGGAGAAGAGGAATTTGAGCAAAGCGGAAACCAAACAGCCTCTGCATATGGACACTCGCCTTATCCAGCTCCACCATGTCGTTAAGCGTTTCGACCTCAGTGCTCTGTAGCTTTCGCGACGCCACGGCCACAGAGCCACCAGAGCCTGTTAGAAGCCTTGACAGCTGCTTGCTTGTTCTGGAAATGGCCTCCACTCGTTCTTCAAGCTTTTCGATGCACGCCTTTATATCCGCCTGTGAGGGGTCAGGCTCGGCTGCGTTGGCGAGAAGAACCGAGTGGGAAGTCACGGAACACACTGAAACGAAGTGAGCTTAAAATTTGAGAACCGGAAAGCACGTTAATGCGATAAATCCTTGGCTCATCAAGGAAGCAAACGCTAAGCAGGCAAGTAGGTACATAAATCCCTGTAGTAAAGTAGGTACAGTGATTTGAAACAGCTCAACATGTTTCCGGTTACGGCGAGACACATGGCTCGACCTGTTTACGGTAACAGACACGTGAAAATCAAGGCGTCATAGTTTTACTGACCGAAACAGAGGTCGGAGAGAGCAGCGAGCTGGAAAATCAGTGAGTTCAGCTCCGGCACGAAAACGTGGTCGAAAATCGCTGCTGACTCCGCCGTCCTCGCTACCGCCTGGCTGAGACCAGGACAGGCGGCAACTGCCGACGGACTAGACACACACACGGCTTGTAGGTCCCGGGCGGGTTTAAGATAGTCGTTAAACGCGACGGATACGAAGCGGATTTTCTCCGGGAGCGCCTGCAGCTGCATGGCTTCTTGATTGCCATGAGCAAAAACGACGCTGCTCTGACGCGGCTGATCCTGCTGATGCTGGGAAGCTATCAATTGTGGGAACGACTCATCTGCTGGGAGAAAAGGGTCCTCGACTTCCAACTTGGCCATTTCGCGGGAACAATTAAGTTGCAAAAAAACTTATAAAGCAAACCGGAATCTCCTTGGGTAAACGCGCTGCAGGAATCCTTCCCAGCCCAGATATAAACACCACCGCGAAAACACAGGCACGTGGAAGCGGAGCAACTAACGAGGTCGACTATCGACACACCTCAATAGTTGGCAAAGAGATGAGGTCGGGGGATGCTAGCAGCTACGAGGAAAGATGCTAACAGGCGGCAACATCAGGAAAGGGAATCACAGCGTGGGTGGGGGGAGGGGTTGGGTCAGTGATGTGTGGCGAGATCGGGAAGTACATTTTGACAGAACACCCTATTAAACCATTCTGTATTTTAGAAGAACGCTCTAGATCGTTGCGAGCCTCTTTGAGCCGCATTCAAACGAAGTTTTGAGACACGCCGTCAGCTTGTTTGGTTTGCCCCAAATTGACAGGGCTGAGGCAGCGTGCACAGCAAGAAAACACTCCGCCAATACGCAGTGCGGAGTGAACGCTCGGCCGGTGCGCCAGTCACGTGTGTTCCAGCGCTGGGACGTGCCCTGGAACACGCGCGGGGGAATGCTCCAGGGGCGCGCGGTGACGTGCGGGGAAAGGTCGACATTCCCGAGGCGAACTGGGGGAGAAATTTGCTCAATTCCGCGGAAGCGCGGTTCGTTTTATTTTCGCCACGTGGCAAGCCTTCGATCGCGCGAACCGCGATCTGTTTTATTGTTCCCACAAAGTTCAAGAGAAACTTAGTTAAGTTATGTACCGCGCTGCCCGCGGGCAAAAATAAAACCCATTCGGGCATGGCATGCGTTAGAGAGGCATCAACCCTAAACACCTTGCCTCTATGTGTTTAGGGTTGATGCATCCCTAACGCATGTTTTTCCTTTAGGGGTTTTATTTTTGTCCGCGGGCAGGGCAGTACATGTGACTCACTAAGCCTAACTATATTTTCTTTTAAAAATTGTGGGAACAATAAATCAGATCGCGGTTCCCACGATCGAAGGCATGCCACGTGGCGAAAATAAAACGAACCGCGATTCCGCGGAATTGAGCAAAACTCTCCGAACTGGGGCCATGCGCGACGAAAGAGAGTCTCTCCCATCTGAGTCGAGGGGGCATGGGGCTGATGGGGGACAAGACACACGACGCGAAGCGACAGACGATGATGGGGATGGGGTCCTTCGATAGCTTAAACGCGTTATTGTGAAGAGAGATTTGGATATCTCTAGGGTTCGTATTAAAAAGAATAATTTTCACAAAGCAATGCGAACTGCCCAATAGTGGCATCCTATGAATAGTCACTCCTGCAGTATTCCATGACATGGATTTCTACAATTGAGCCAATTTCTCCAATGCTTAACCTCGACGCATGCCAGGGATAACCACCTGGCTGTATAAATATGTTTTGTATGCCACCACCATCAGTAGCAGTATCTATCACTATCACCCTCAGTAACCTCCCGGAGAAATCGGAATATTCCCCACACTCCTTGGTGCCCCAAGCGCTCGCATCCCCAACCTGTGAACAGCAGCAACACCACCACCACCACCGCCATGCACCAATTCACTCCCATCCACACCACGTGCCCCAACTCCACCCCCCATTCCTCCACCCAACACTCTCCTCTGCACGTGATTAGGCAGCAACATTGTATCCACTGACGAAGTCCTTGCAAGGGGGCTTCGACCAGCCAAAGGCAAGGCTGAGACAGGTGTGTTCCCTCCAGAAGGGCTGGGAGATGCAGAGAATGGCCCAGCAGCAGTAGCACCCTCACGGTGCCTGCTCATGCGCATCTGCTCTGGTGACTGCACCCCTCCTCTCCGCGCTCCCAACCCACCACCACTCAACAATGGACTGCGACGCACACCCCCTCCTCCTCCCCCTCCTGCCATGCCCATCCCCACTCCCTCGCCTCCTCCCATCCCTCCTCCTCCACCCACACCTGCTCCTCCTCCGTACGCATCGTAATCATCACCAGCAAAGCACCCGGAACCCACTGCTGCGCCTCCTCCACCCAGCAACAGCTCCTCAGTAAGTGTGTGGTGACGCCGCCGCACCAGCTGCTGCCCCTGGTGGCCCACATGCCGTGCGCCAGGGAGGGGAGGGAGCAGGTTGGAGGAGGCAGCAAGATCTGTGTAGCTGTCTGTGAAAACCGACAGTACTCCACCTCCTGACACCCCCGTGCCTGATGATGCGAACCCCCCACTGCTCTGACCCTCGTCACTGCCGCTTCGACTGGCTGCCAGGTGCCCACTGCTGCCACCGCCCGCCCCAAACCCACCTCCTCCTCCTGCTCCTCCTGCTCCTCCTTCCCAAGCAGCAGACCCTTGCGTAGCAGCTGTCCTGTCCACAGACCCCCCTTCCCCGTCCACATCATAAAGCACCACGCCCTCCCCTCGCCCCCTCTCGCCCCTCTCCCCGAATCCCAGGCCCTGCTGAAAATCAGACGAAGTGCGGAACAGCGGCTGTTGCCCTCCCCTGGGGAGATCCTCAGGTGAATCCAACAGAGCGCCTGGCCTCAGCCTGCCTTGAATCACACCACCGCTGCCACCGGCCGCACTCGGCGTTCTCTGCGGCGAATCAAAAGGTCGAGGCATTCCCACACCGCTGCCTAGAGCGGACGAGGAGTTGAAAGCCATGCGCTGCCTTGCAGCACTGGAACTAGCAGAGCCACCAGGGCCTAAATCCGCAGACATAGTGCGAGTTAAAGACATCCCGGCTCCAGATCGGGCCACTAGAGTCGCCTCTGCGGATAGCATCCTCGGCACAGGTGCACGGCCAATCCCTGCTGTAGTACCACCCATGGCACCCATACCCCTGAGCCCACCGTCCCCGCTATCTTCCTGTCTCCACCCTGCCACTTCAGCATCTCGGGCAGAAAAAGAACCTGTAGAGGAGGATGGTGGGTAGAAGTCAGTAGGAGGGGAGTAGGGCCGATAGGGCTGCCCGGAGTGAGTGTGGCTTGGGGAGTCAGAGAGTAGCCTCCGGAGGGGAGGCATGGCTGCTGTGCCCATGTGACCACCACCGCTCGTGGTAGCAGCACTGCCAGCAACACCAGCAGCACCAGCACCGGTACTACCGCCATTATCACCAACACTGAGGCTGACAGGAAAGCGGGGGCCGTTACCAGAGGGGTAAACCGCATACGAGCCGCTGTTGCTGTTGCCGCTGCTGCTGGCGCTGTTGCTGCTTCCAAACGAGTTGCTGTGGCTGTGTGCAGCACTGGCAGAAGAAGAGGACGCGCTTGAAGCACTGAAGCCCGCACCAGCAGCAGCAGCAGAAGATGAAGTGTTGTTTCCAACAGACAGCCTGGATGCGGGGAAGGTGAGTGGCGGGTCAAAGTCACGCGAGCGCACGCGTGAGAGCGACGCGCTGTCCAGTGTGACGGTGCGTACGAATTGCGGCATGGACTCTGCCACTGACCGGGCTGCAGCACCCCCTGCTCCCATCACCTTGCCTTGCAACCCACCGACCTCTCCCACTCCTCCTCCACCTCCTATGAACCCTGCTCTTGCGGCAGCAGCAGCAGCACCGCTACCACCACCACCGCCAGCAGCAGCAGCAGCAGCAGCAGCAGCAGTCAAAAACGATTGTCTGGGGGGCCTTGTGCCTCGATCCAAAGTGGCAACCCGCATGTACATTTCTGAAGCAGTGGCAGCAGCACCAGCAGCAGCAGCAGCAGCAGCATCATAAGGAGCGGGATCGTACGACCTAGATCGCTCAACATATGACCCCAGATTCATCCCGCTGGCTCCACCTCCCAAACCTGGTCTGGAAATTCGGCGAAAACTGTTCAGGTCCGGATCTAAGGGACCCATGCTTCGCATCTTGTGCAGATTGCGGGATGGCAGGCTGTGGGGGGGTAGGCTGTTAGAGGGCAGGCTGTGGGTGGGCAGTAAATGGGACAAGGCTTCCTGGCACGCACGTTCCTCCTCCTCCTCCTCCTCCTCCTGCTCCTGCTGCCGCAGTTGCTGCAGCTGCTGCTGCTGCTGCCTCTGCTGCTCATGGCGATGGTGATCTTGGTGCGATTGCAGGGGTGCTTGGGGCTGGGAGTGGTGGCGATGGTGGTGGGGGTTGTGGGGTTGCAGTGAGGTCTGAGAGGCGAGGCGGGAGGAGTGGTCTCCTCGAAGGACCTTCCACGGATCAAACTGCATCACAGTGAGGGGAACACAGGGAAAGGTTGAGCTGAATTGCTACACGTGCAGCCTCTGAGGCTACAATGATGGAGAAGGATGCAGTGGGGTGTGGTGGAATGGGGTGGGGTGGGGTTGGGGAGTTGGGGGCTGGAGAACGGTGGAGTGCGGTGGGGTGGTGGTACCTGGCAGTTGGGGCAGCAGAAGCTGCGAGTGAGTGGGTCCTCCTGAAGGCTATCCAGAGCGCACGTTTGGCCGCACACACACCCAAACCACACCTCCTCCTCCGCTTCCTCCCCGTTGCGCTTCAACCCACCCTGCTGCCATGCAGCGGATATTAGGGTGTGTATGGGTGGGGGTGAAGAGGGCGCGGAGGGGGGAAGAAGGAGAGAGGGGGAGAGGAGAAAGGTGGGGAAGGAGGGGTTAGGAGGGAGGAGGGTAAGGTTGAGGGGGGTTGAGAAAGAGAGTTTGCAGGTGTTGGTGACTGAAGAATAGCAACGACAGCAATGGTGAGACTGATACTGATCGAGATGGCACTGGGAACGGGGAAGGGAGAGGCCCAAAAGAGAGGCAAAACAAAGGACGGTGGCAGGGGGAGCGACGGGAGTGACGGGAGCAGCGGGCGCAGCGGTAGCAGCGGGAGTGGTGGGAGCAGTGAGGAGGAGAGCTGCTGGCTGTGGTGGTTCAACGAGAACAAAGAACAGAGGGAAGACATGGGGCGCAGAGGCATCGAGCGAGCGAGAGACCTTGGCGGAGAGGCAGGAAGCGCAGTCTAAAAGCCCCTTGCTGAGGCGCATGCCCACACAGGCAAAGTGCGAGCGGTGCCCGCACTCCCACACTATCGTGTTTTGAGGCGCCTCAAAACGTGACTGACCTGGGCGGAGAGGCAGGAAGCGCAGTCCAGAAGCCCCTTGCTGAGGCGCATGGAAATCACTTTTGAGAATTCTCAAACGGGACTGACCTTGGCAGTGAGGCAGGAGGCACAGTCCAGCAGCCCTTTGCTGAGGCGCATGCCCACACAGGCAAAGTGCGAGCGGTGCCCGCACTCCCACGCTATCACCGGCGCCTCTCTGATCGCCAGCTCACACGTGCTGCACCCCTCCCTGCGCGCCCCCTCCCCTTCCCGCTCCCGCTCCCGCTCCCCCTCCCCCTCCTCGTTTCCGCTCAAGCCCCTGGAGGGACTACTGTTGGCGACTACAGAGCCCCCGAGCCCACTGATTCTGGCGGGAGTATTGGCAGCAGCAGGGAATGGGGCAGAGGGAGGGAAGGCAGGGTTGCTTTTTGAGAATTCTCTAACACCAGCTCGTTTCCGCTCAAGCCCCTGGAGGGACTACTGTTGGCTGCTACAGAGCCCCCGAGCCCACTGATTCTGGCGGGAGTATTGGCAGCAAGGAAGAGGGTAGGAGGGAAGGCGGGGTTGCTGCTGGTGCGGTGGAGGGTGGAGTTAGCGGGAGTGGGCCGCGGGGGACGTGGGATTGGAATTTGGGGGGTTGAGAGATAGTGCGTGTCCTTGTAAGACATGGGGGATGGGGAAAGGAGAGAGCATGGGTTAACGTATGGTATGGTTGCGTTGTGGTGGAGTGGGGATTGCAGCAACAGGTGGGAGCGAGAGAGAGAGAGAGAGGGGAGGAGAGCATCAGAGGCATAGGTTGCAAGGAAGAAGACAAAGCCTGCCTCTGGGTTATTACCATGCACCGCGGCACGACCAGCTGCTCTTTCCTTGTTTGTTCTTCTCCTTTTCTTCTGCTTTTCTACTACTTTTCCCGTTCTCGGTTGTAACGACTCTCGTTATCAAAAGTCAAGGGACTAGCTCCTTTTGAAGACTATTCCTTTCCATCCCTCCCTCCCTCGACCCCCACCAACTTTATCCCATCCACCCAACCCCTCGTTCCCCCTCACCCTTTTTCTCGTTCCGCCCTATCGCCCTCGTTTCGAACTCACCGTCGCCCTGCTGCTGTAGCACCCCGGCTCGAGACACAAGCCGCGGACCCAAGCGGAGACGCCCTTCCCCCGCTTCCCCCCGCGCTCCCGCTCCCCCTTCCGGAACCCCTTGATTCCGGCGACGACCCTCTGCTGTCCGCGTGCGCGTGCGACACGGCGCTACGGGCGGGCGACGACCTGGCGGAGGAGGGCTTTAATCGACTCGACCCGGGCGCAACAGGCGCGGCGCTGCTGCCGCCGCCCGCGCCGGGAAACCCTCCCCCGGACGCAAAATCCGCGGAGCCACCACTAGAAGGAGCAGAGCCGGCAGGAGGAGGCGCAGCAGCAGCAGCAGCAGCAGCAGCAGCAGAAGAAGAAGAAGTAGCAGCAAGGGGGTCATCGGGAGGGATAGAGGCGAGGTCCGGGGCGATATGGGAGGCGACAAGGGCGAGAGGCACGTCGACTCGGCTACGCACGGCGTCTACCCACAACCGCACGCTCTCGTCCGACACGCGCAGCACCTCGCCGAAGCACCACCGCGCTTTCATGCACCGCACCACCACCAAGTCCCCCGCCTCGTACGGACAGCTCCACGCCTCTCCCCCGCGTTTCCCGCCGCCGGATGCGGCACCCCCGCGACGGCGCCGGCCGCCGCCGCCGCTGCTGCTGCTGCTGTAATCGGTCGGGTAATCCGCGCCGCTGACCCCGCCGTAGTCGGCGTCGTAATCCGAGCCGGGATCTGCACCGTAATCTGCGGCGGATTGAGCTGGCCAATCATCGAGCGCGGTAGCAACGGTCGGATCTAGCGAGTTGTAACGAGCCGGTCCGCGTATGCTATCTCCATGGCTCCCCCCACCGCCAGCCCCGCGGCTGAGCCCTGCCTTCCCCGCCCCTCCCCCCCGCACTCTTCCGCCCGCGCCGTCGCGGAAAGGAAGTTCCGCCACTAGCTGAACGGGCCCGGATCTTGCCCCTTCGTCTGAGCCAGGGGTTGCGCGGAGCGAGCGGGAGTAGGCGGAGCGGTCGATGAGGGGAGGGGGGGCGTGGCGCAGGGTTCCGCCGGAGGGGAGAGAGGAGGCGGGGATGGTGGGGGAGGAGGAGCTGTAGCCTTCGTCGCTGTCCTCTGATTGGTCGATGAGGTCCATCATCAGTGGGTTGCGGCCACGTGTCCGAAACCCCATACGCTCGAGCACGGGGGATAGCGTGCGTGACGGTGAGAGGTAGCGACGTCAGGACGACGGGGGTAGACTTGATTAAACAGATGGGTGGGGACGGGTGGGTTGACTCAAGCGCGAGAAAATAAGAGCGTTGCGGTTTCGAGGAACGGGGTCAACGCGGTGCTCGCAGGAAGGGAATGCGTATTAGCAGGCTGACGACGGTTAAGTTTACGTACGTAGAACAGTAGCTGTGGCGTTGCACCAGAATAAAATACAGATAACGAAAATCCCGCTAGCAATGGCGACCGGTACACACACGTGTCAATTCACCATGACCTGCGTGAGGACGAAGCGTGAGCGGGAATGGGAAGTAACAGGACCCGAGCCGCTTCAACGTGCATAGCAAGAGAACGACTGCACTACGCAGAGAAGCTCACGAGCTGTAGTTAAATCCAAGCTCGCGGCACCAAATCAGCTGCTAGTGCTGCTCTCATCAGACACCAGCTGCACCTGTCTGGACTCGCCTAGACTTTCCATTACATAATATTCAAACCAGTCTAGACATAACCAGTCTGTGCATCATCATCAGCCAGCCATACATCATCAGCAACACCCTCCTCCAGAAACCAGTTTCAGGAAAAAAAGTTCTCGTCCGCCTGTACACCAGATGCCCGTTAGAATTCTACAACTTTACCCGTCATTTGGGTGTTTAGTGAGCAACGAATATTTCGCCTGCTCGCCAACGGGCAAAATCGGTATTGTAGTGGGAAGGTGAAGAAATGTAACCAGCTTCTTCAAAATATCTCACGAACGGACGAATGCCAGCGTGATAAGCTGTATGTTCAACGGCTGTGATCTAAATAGGGGCTTCTATCGTGCGTGCAACTGGCTCGTACTAATTGCAATTCGGCAGGCTGACGAGAATTGAAAGACAAAATTTGCGTGCAATTGTTGAGCATCCTGTGTACTCGTCCACCGAACACCTAACCAAACATACGAGCGAATCGAGTGAAGCAAGCAGCCACTGGTGACAGCCTGACGCACCGATCAATGAGATTTTAGATTCCACAACTGTGGCGGGACAAGACACGATGACTGACTCGGTTGAACAATCGGGCAGAAGCGAAACCTGCCCGCCTGACACTCGCAAGCAACAGGTTCGGCAGGATTTACTGTACAATGAAGCGCGCCAAACCGACGGAACTCTCATCTGCGATAAGTACAGTACAGTTTCACCAATCTGGTTTCCACCAATTTCCAGGCTTGAAGTTGGTTCCAGGCGTGATGGCGAGAGCGACCACTCTTGCCTTTCGATTCCCAAGATTTGGGGGCTAGCTTGGCTAAGTGAACAAAATGTGATGTGAATATTGCCAGCTTTGTGGGTGTCGTCTTCCGCCCACACCCGCTTCGTGCGACATTCTATCAGAAGCCACACCAATCAGCATCATGCAACCCAGCCGAAAGTTGTGGCTGAAACAAATGCCGAACAAGCCCTGCACTGTGGGAAGCTGCCGCCACGGTGGCTTCTTGTGCCCTCCTTGCCGCAGTGCAATAGCGAACGGATCATGCCACCCACTCGACGTGAGTCAACAGATGGAGGTTATCGTGGTTCGCTAAGAGCAGTACTCAAAGGTTGTCATACTAATCTTAGGGCTTGTTGGACCACTGGTTATCTCAATGCCTAGTATTTGTACGTTCTACACTCACCTGGGATTTGCTTACTCAAAATGACATTTTTGTATTGAACATGCATCATTTGAACAAAATACACATTTCTATTTTCATTGCATACTATTTTGAGTAAGCGAGACCTGAAATGCTTCGGAATTTTCGTGTGATCTCACTTCAAAAAACGAAATTGTTTTTCATTGACAAGGCCTTTGTTTGTAGGAAACTTATAGTTATCTAACATTTAATCACACAAGGAACTTGTTGTCTGTTTGCATTTACTCATTTCTTTCACTGAAAACCCCTCTGATAAACATATGGGATGTTATAGTTTGGGAAATGGAACTGATTTTTATTGCACAATCATCAACTTGTTGATGGATTCGGAAGCACCGCGAAACCCAAAGTGCCTGTAACGAGAACCCGAAAGCGGGAATCCGATTAAGCCTGAAGCTTGTCCATCATCCGACGAATCAGCAAACTGGATCCAGCCTCCAACTGACACCCCAAAATTCTCGGATCTTCTCCAAATCAAAACACACTTTTGCAGGTTATTCTACTCCATGGTCTAGTGCGTGAGGCAAATTGAGATTAGGAGAACCGCATAATAATTTACAAGACTGAATCTTTTAGGTAGTACATGGCATGTTATTGTGGTGCGGTCGCAGCAGTAAATATTTGGTAACTTGGGAGTACGTGGAGCGGAGTCGCGAATGCCCTCGTTTTTGGAGTCAGGCGCATCCGATGCCAGGTTTCGCGAATGAATATCTGACCGCACGGCTCTTGGAACGTCTCACATACGCTGCCGGAGCGCGGTGCGTGCTTCGACCAGCTCTGCACACACCGTTCCCATGAACGGTCTTCCAGCCGTCCCATAACCACCGTCAGATAACCATCAATTCAATCTCCCTTTTTACAAATCGATCTCGCCGATCCGCGTTAGCTTGCTCGGGACGCCGATCCGTTCCCCGCGTCCTCGTCCGATCTACCATTACCCTTCCCTCGAAGCGCCATGCCGACAACTCGTTCCCGGGGGAGCGTGGAGCGGCGAAGAGCGCTGGAACAGCCGGACCTGCAGGTGCTGCCGCCGCACGTATGGGCGACGCTAGGCGGGCTGGGAGTGGCGGCGACGGTGGGTCTGTTCGGCGTGCTGGGGCTGATCACGGAGTGGGAGGTGCCTGGCCTGCCGCACTTGTTCGTCGGCATGCTCGTCTTCGCGCTCGTGCTCTACCTGCTCATGCTGCCCATCTCGTGGTCGCAGCTACCACGTAAGTGCTGCCCCTTCTCTCGCAAATTGGAGCGCACTACTTTTGGAGCGTCTATGAAGTGTCGTCTTCGCGCTCGTGCTCGACCTGCTTATGCTGCCCATCTCGTGGTCACAGCTACCGCGTGAGTGATCACTCATTTTCCCCCTTCCCCCCTACCTTCCTCCCCTGCAACATATGCCCTTTCTTCTGCTTATCTCCGTCCTCCTATCTTCCATCTCGTTTGCGTCAACTCCTCTCTTCTCTGCGTACCCTCTTCCCTCCGTGAATCCTCATTCCTTCCACCTGTTATTTTCCCCTTTCCGCTGCACGCAACCCTTCCCGCCGCCCGTGACCCTTTCCGCGCGCCCGCTCCCCCGCCAGAGTCGTGGAAGGCGCGGTTCAAGTGGAGGGCGCGCGCACGGCAGCAGCAACAGGACATGGACCCGCCCCCCTGGTCGCTCACGGCCGCCGCCGTGTGCAGGTGAGACAAGCCACGCCGTGCGTGCCGTAGATTGCGTTGGTCGCCGTATATCGCTGTAGGTTGCTGAGTACAAGAGAGCGAACACGCTCGTGCTGTTCCGCGCCGTTCGGAGCACGCGCCACAAGTCCAGTCATTTCTGAAAAAAAAAAAAAATCTGCGATAGAGTCTGCATGATTATCACACATGAATGCACAAGCTTGGCCTAAAGTCAACCTTGTTTCCACCAAGAGGGGCGGATCACCCATGAATTTCACGGCACGCCACCTTTTTCCCATTGCAGCTCCTCCCATCCCGTTTCATCCCATCCCATCCCATCCGATCCAATCCCATCCCATCCCATCCGTCCCGTTCCCGTTCCCGTTCCCCGCCGGCCAATCAGAGCGCTGCACGTGGTGCGCGACGTGGGGCTGCACAAGGAGGTGGCGCAGGCGCGGCTGGCGCGGCACGGCGTGAACGAGATCGAGTCGCTGCCCGTGCCCACCTTCCTCGCCTTCCTCATCCCCGCCGTCTACACCCCCACCAGAGTCAGTGCCCTCTCTCCCTTGCTCCCCTCTCCCCCGCTCCCTTCTCCCTTGCCCCTTTTCCCTTGCCCCCTCTCCCTTGCTGCTGCTGCTGCTCGTGCGCTTCACAGCGCTTTGCACGTGGTCGGTGTATTATGAGTCAACTCAAAGCACACCTCCCGCCCCCTCCTCTTTCCCCATCCCCATTCCCCCTTCCCCCGCCCCCCTTCCCCCTCCCCCTTCCCCTTCCCCATTCCCCCATTCTCCCATTCCCCCTTCCCACTTCCCCTCCGCCAGCTGCTGCTGCTGATGCTGCTCGTGCTCTTCACAGCGCTCTGCTCGTGGTCAGAGGCGCTAGTGGGAGTGGCGTGCACGCTGCTGCTGCTGCTGCTGGACACGTTCGCGGAGTGGCTGGGGCGCAGGGGGCTCGCCAGCGCGTGCCTTGCAGTGCCTCATGACGCGCTTGTTCTCAGGGATGGCGTTGCTGTCACGCTACCCAGACGGCTGCTCGTGCCAGGGGATATCGTGCTGCTGCGCCCCGGCATGGTGCGTGCATGGTTGCGGTTGAGAGCGGTTTGAGAGGGTTTGAGGGGGGTTGGAGAAGGAAACACACACAGCCTGATAACCTCGTGAACTGAGGCGATTTTTGAGGCGCCTCTAAATTCATGCAGGGTGCATGGTTGCAGTTGAGAGCAGTTTGAGGGAGTTGAGGGGGGTTGGAGAAGCAAACACTCACAGCCTTGCTATCAACCTTCTCCTCCATCGCATTCTCAGTCCCCCAGTTACAAATCCATTTATTTATCCCCCATGCGCCGCCTCTGTTCCCCGCATCCCACCTGTACCCAACTGAACTTCCTCGTTCCCTCTCCCCCTTTCTCCCACTCTCCCACTCTCCACTCTCCCCCTTTCACCTTCTTCCCCTCCCTCCCCATCTCTGCTTCCTCTTGCTCTCTCTCCACCCCTCGCCCTCTCCCTCTCCCCTCGGTCCTCTCCCCTCTCCCTCTCTCCCCATCTCCCCATCCCCCCTTCCCCTCTCCCCCCTGCCCCCCATCAGGAGGTGCCAGCGGACGTGCGGCTACTGCACTGCAGCCTGCTCGAGATCGACGAGTCGGCCGTGTCAGACGAGTGGGAGGCGGCGCCGTGCCCCAAGGACGCAGCTGCCATCATCAGCGGCCGCATCTCTCCCTCACTCCGCTCCCCACTTCACCCTTCCCTCCTCCCCCTCTTCCACCCTTTCTTCCCGTTCCTATCTCCCCCCTACCCTCCTTCCCCCTTTCCCCCTTTCCCGTCCGCCCTGCCCCTTTTCCCCCGCCATCCCCCCACCAGGAGGTGCCAGCGGACGTGCGGCTGCTGCACTGCAGCCTTCTGGAAATCGACGAGTCAGCCGTGTCAGGCGAGTGGGAGGCGGCGCCCTGCCCCAAGGACGCAGCAGCCATCATATCGGGCCGCACCACGGCCGTAGACTGCGCCAACATCGCCCTCGCAGGCACCATTGTCACCTGCGGGTACGGCTCTGGAGTCGTGTTCCGCACAGGGAAGAACACGGAGATTGGCAGAAAGATTGCAGCAGCGGCCAAGCACCACAGGAGCAGGTTGTTGGGTGGGGCCGGGGAGGTCTCCCCGCTGCTGTCGCTGCTGCGGGGTGCTGCTCGTTGGTTGACGCTCGTGGCGGTGGTTTTCACGCTTGTGGTTGCCGGGCTGGGTGTGTACCGGGCTGTTGATTGGCAGACGATTCTGCTAACGTCGCTCGCGTTTTTCTTCGCCGCGCTGCCCGAGAACCTGCCCGCGATCTTCTACTCCACCCTCGGCACGGGCAGCCAGCGGCTCGTGCAAAACGAGATCTTTTTCAAGGAGCTGAGTGCGGTTGAGAACCTCTCGTACGTCGACACGATCCTAACAGACAAGTCCGGGAGCTTAACAGAAGAACGGCTGGACCTCCAGGGGTTACTGGTAGCATCAACAGCCATAGGCGTGGAAGAACTAGCAGTTGCCACACGGGAGATGCCCAAGGGGGGGCCGTTAGCGGCTGAAGGAGGGATGGAGGCCCTAGGAAAAATGTTGGAGGCGTGGGTGTTTATGTCTGACATGGGGGATGATCTTCTGGCGGAGAATCTAGGGGGAAGCGCTGGGGGGAGGGGAGCGGGCGGAGTAGGCGCGCAGAGGGGTGCGGAGAAGGGTGAGGGGGTGAGTGGGCGTGGGGATGCGTCGGGAGGAGTGGGGGAAGGAGCGGGGGGACAGGTTGGGGGGAGGGAAGGGGAAGGGGAGGGGAGTGGGATCGTGGAAGGTGTGAAGGTGAATGGGAAAGCCGGGAGGTCAGGGGGGGTGGAAGAGGGTACAGATGCTGAGTTTCTGGCAGCCATTGCGAAAGAAGCAAAGGAAGCAGGAGCAGGTGACGTGAGTGTGGATGTGCGAGCAGGAGGCGAGGAGGAGCAGAGCGAATCGCTCCTCGAATCAGGCCGGAAAGCCGGCGATCCAACCCCAGACGTGGCCGCGCGAGGAGGCCACGTGGACGCTCTGGATTGGGCGATTTTAGGCGTGGTGGGCGGGCCGTCGGTGCTGACGAGCCTGCCGTATGAAGGGCTGGAAGGGGTTGAAGCAGAGGTGGCAGCAGCAACAGCAGCGACGACAACAACCAAGGGGCTGCGGCCGCTGCATGATCTCCTGCGGCGGTGTTACGAGGCGAAGGCGGCGGCGAGGAGGCTGACGGATACCCCGTATGAGTCGAGCCTGAAGTGTGCCGTGCGCACGTATGCGGACGTGCGGACCGTGGTGGGGGGCGCAGGCGGCGTGGGGGTGACGAGAGGCAAGTCGGTTCAGAAGAAGCTGTTGGCTCTGGGGAAGAGGTGAGCGAGAGGATGGCTGCATGGCGTTATTCTCACATTGTCTTGCACTTGCGTCTTGAGAAGTGTCAACCAACAGACGCCAGCGCAGGCGGTGGAGAAGAAACTTCGATGCAGAAGAAATTGCTGGCGCTGGGGAAGAGGTGAGCGGCTGTGTGGCAGGTGCACATGTTCACATATTGGTTTGAACGAAGGTACAGAGGACAGCTTTGCAGAAATCTCAAAAGCGACCTTCTCCAGCTTTGAAAACAGGTAAATAGCTGAGTGTGCTTTCTGTATCTCTCGCTCCTCCGAAATCTGCATCCCCTCCCTTCACCCATCAGAGTGGCTGATGCAAGTGGCCAGCTTGGGGCGGATACACAGGCCAGCGCCGCCACTGGCAGGGGCAGCGGCAATGGCAGTGGGGTGTGTGAGCTGCGGCAGCGGGTGTTTGTGCGGGGGCCACCAGAGGTGCTGCTGCAGCAGTGCGGCACCATTCTGCACCGCGGCGAACCGGCTTCCATCACGTCGTCCCGCGCCACCATCCAGGAGCAGATCAACGAGCTCACTGAGCAAGGTGGGCGGGTGGGTGGCTGGGTGGAACTTGGGGGAGGTTGGGGGGGGGGGAGATGACTTTGAGAGTCGTGTGAGAGTCGTCGCGTGCCACCATCCAGGAGCAGATTAACGAGCTCACGGAACAAGGTGGGCGGGTCGGGTTGGGGCGTGGAGGGGTGGTGGAGGGTGGCGGGATTGGGGTGAGTTCTGAGTCTAGTCACAGGCCACACCAGAGCAGATCAACAAGCTCACCGAACAAGGTGGGGGGTAGGGGTGTGGAGGGGAAGGGAGAGGTGGAAGTCAACTGTCTTAAACCGTGATATGCTGCATTCTCCCTGTCCTCCAGTTTCTCAGCATGCGCCCGTTCTCTCCCTTCTCCACTCCCTCGCCCCACTCTAGGCCTGGTACTCGTGGCATACGCATCAGGAGACATGCTGGTGGACAGCTTTTGAGACCTCTCAGAATCACCCTCCCCTCTCCTTCTCTTCTCCCTGCCCTGCCTTTCACTGCAGGCCTGGTGCTCGTAGCATACGCATCGGGTGACATGCTGGTGGACAGCCCGCGGGCATCCTCGCGCCCGGCCATCCTGGCATGCATCCACGACTGCACCTTCCTGGGGGTGGTGCTCGCAGCCGAGTCCCCTCGCCCCGGAGTGAACGTCGCTGTGAGGAGCTGCCAGCAGGGCGGGGTGCGGCCTGTGGTGGTCACAGGGGATCATGTGGCGACGGCTGCTGCCCTCGCCAAGGCTGTGGGGCTGTGTAAGGGCGGACAGGTGAGAGAGGGCCACTGGTTGACTCTTTTGTGTGGTGCTCGCAGCCGAGTCCCCTCGCCCCGGAGTGAACGTCGCTGTGAGGAGCTGCCAGCAGGGCGGGGTGCGGCCTGTGGTGGTCACAGGGGACCATGTCGCCACGGCTGCTGCTCCTGCCAAGACCGTTGGCCTCTGCAAGGGCGGACAGGTGAGAGGGCGCAGAGGGTGGTGGGTTTGATATTTGAGGAGGGAGGTCAGGGGTTACCTGGTGGCATTCATTCTGGTTGCGTCTGGCAGTCCTTCTACCTTCTTTGGTCCACCCTCTACTGCCATCCGACCCGCCTCCCCTTACCACTGCCGCCTCCTCCCCCCCCCCCCCCCCCTCCCCTCTTTCTACCTTAACCAGCAGCAACCAGGGGCAGCACCAGAGGTGGTATCATGCGTGGAGAAGCCAGCAGCGCAGACGCCACAGGAGGAGCTGAGCGCGCTGGTGCAGGCCACCTCTGTGTTCGCGCGTGCCTCGCCCATTGACCGCCTCTGCATCCTCGAGGCCCTCCAGGCCAATGGCGCATTTGTCGCCGCCTGTGGCACAGGTACAGGGCGGAGGGTTGTGGAGGGGAGGGGGGGTTGTGCCGAACTCTTGCATTTCGAGGCACCGTGAATCTCACGGGTATGTTGTGGCTGTGCGGAGCCCTTGCATGTGTAAGAGAGTCAGTGCCTCGCCCATCGACCGCCTCTGCATCCTCCAGGCCTTCCAGGCCAACGGCGCATTTATCGCCGCCTGTGGCACAGGTACGAGCGGGGGGGGCGGGGCGGGGAGACTGTGGTGAACTTCTGCCCTTTGAGGCGCATTGCATCGCGTGGGTATCAAGTGGTGTTGCTGAACTGAACCCTTGCCTGTGCGAGGGAATTTTTATGTTTTGACACAGTTACCTACCTGGCTAAGACACCACGCTGAAAAACAGTGCCTGTGATACTTAATGCCTGTGCTGCATGTATTGCTGGTCCGTCCTTCCCTGCTTACCCTGCATGTCACCCATCTTGCCCTAGTCACACATTACCTTCCACGTTCGCTTTCAGCGCCACCTCATATTTCTCCCGATCCTCCTCCCTATCATTCATGTCCTCTCCTTCCCGGCCCTCCCCTTCCGAGCAGGCATAGTGGGCGCACCAGTGGTGGCAGAGAATATTCTTTAGTCGACTCAAGAATCCTCTCCCTCCTCCCCTCCATCCCCTTCCTTCCCATGCCAAGCAGGCATTGTGGACGCACCTGTGGTAGCAGAGGCAGATGTGGGGCTGGCGGTGGGAGCGGCACCGGACGTGGTGAGGGATGCAGCAGCCGTGGTGGTGCTGGACGGGTCCTTCGGTGCAGTGCGCTTCCTGCTGGAGGAGGGGCGAGGGCTGCTGCTCAACCTGCGCAAGGCCACTGCGCTCAGCCTTGGCACGCGCCTGGGGCTTGCTCTCGTCATGCTCACTGGCACGCTCTGGGTCAAGTGAGTGCCGTTCCCTGAGGTGGGTGGTGGGTCCGGGGTTCTTAGAGTGCTCCTCTGCTCCTGCGATGTAGTTTTGAGGTGCCTCAATACTTGAGGTGGGTGGTGGGTCCGGGGTTTTAAGAGTGCTCTTGTGCTCCTGTGCTCCTGCAATGTAGTTTTGAGGTGCCTCAAAACTTGAGGTGGGTGGTGGGTCCAGGGTTCTTAGAGTGCTCTTGTGCTCCTGTGCTCCTTTGCTTCTGGGATGTAGTCTAGCATTGCAGGGAGTGTTTTTGGTGAAGCTTCTGGAAGCACACATCACGGTTACGTGCCCGCCTTCGCAATCTCACTCAATTCTGATCCGCTCATCCTCTTCCTCTCTGCACCTCTCTCCCATCTCCTCACGATCCTAAACCCCGCATGCACATTTCCCTCCGTCTTCCCACTGCCACCCTCACAGCTACCCACTACAGCCCGCACAGATCATCATAGCAGCGGTGTTCCTCAACGCAGCCTCGCTCTTCTCCTACACTATTGAGCTGCCAGACGCAGACACCATGCTGCACCCCCCGCGCCGTTGCACCCAGCCCTTCTTCGACGTGCCCCTCCTCTCCCTCTCCGCTGCGGCCACTGTCGCCACAGTCACAGCTAGCCTGCTCGCCCTCGCGTTTTCCCTCCGCACGGCGCCGCAGGGAGACACGCAGACAGTGGTGTTTGTCGCGTGGCTGCTCTCCTCCTGCCTTGTGGGTTTCCACATGCGCACGTTCTCCCAGCCGCTCTTCAGCAAGGGGCTTGGGTCTAACTCGCTCGTGCTGCTCTGGCTTCTCGCCGTCGTGGTCTTCTGTGTGCTGCTTGGCGTGTTCCCGTGGCTTCAAAAGGCCGTGCAAGTGGTGAGCCTAACTCCCACGGATTGGGGGATCATGGCGGCGATTGCTGTGATTGGTACGGTGTGGATCGACCTGTGCAAGCTTCTGGTGGTGAAGTCGAGAGAACATGGGTACGAGGTGCCGAGTATGCCTGTGCCTGTGGGGGGGCGGGGAGGGGGCGCACGTGGAGATGTTGGGGTGGCGCCGCTGCTGCCGTCCACGGCACTCAAGAGTGATGTCGAAATGACATGAGCTTTCTGCGACAGCGGGTTCAGACTGCTAGCTAGTGGATTGTAGTGGTGTTACGGCGGCCAGGTCTAGTACGGTACTCTAGTCTGCGATACATTTTCTGGTGATGCTGATTCGTTCTTTGTTAGGTTTCATAGAGGCACTTGGCATACGCTGTTGTCTAAGTACACATTACAAGTACTGTGCGTGCACATCGCACTAGGGGGTGCAGTGTTTGAGCATGGCAGCAAAGGTTACAAATCTAAACACTTGTGCCGTGCCACAATCATCCCCCTACCCTATTTGCCTTAGCCAACATGAAGGGCAAGCACATGCAACTATTAACTCTTCGAGGTGCTACTTGCTTTGTGACCGACCACATGCACTTGCATGCCCAGCCCAACTTCATATAAAGGCTTTAGTTAATAGAAGCATCGCCAGCTGACAGTCACACTCTAAAAAGCTGCACATGTCAAGTGGGAAACTATTCGCTCCAGGTAATGTCAGAATGTTGTATAGCACGTATTAAGGATATAAAAGAATATGTACATTCCGGTTAACATTTTTTTTCGGTTCTACTTTGGGTAGCCCGAATCTTGTAAGCAGAGGCTATCTGATGCGTCCTGCGTTTCTTCACCTCATCTGTTGGATGATGGCGACCCCCAGGTCTTGTCGTCGATGTTGTCGAATTAGAAATTTCACGCGGTTCCGCAATTTCCCCATATTGCGCCGCCCGCAGCCATCCCGTTGGAGCAGCAGCCCCACCTTCTGAGACTGCGCTCCGCAAAACCTCCGAGTCCGTGCACACTCAATTGTGTGTCAGACTTTTGGGGGAGCGCATTCACAATACCCGCGGATATCCCAGACGGAACCGTTAGGCTCGACGTTAGCGGCGACGCTCACCGATGTCGCAAACGTCTGACCTCCCGACAGAGGACAGGTTGACGAGGAAGCGAAACAACCGTTTCGTCGCCAGTGTTATTTCGCTTATCGCACCCGCCTTTCGTCAATTGGCCGTTTGTTGGAAATCATGCGCTCGCGGAAATTCGCAGGCGAATCTTGTCGGCGGTGCTTCCTCCTCCGCCGCTTGGCCCACCTCGGGATTGGTTGGGATAACTCTGGGCTGAGCTGAACCATCAGAAACTCCGAGTACCCAGAAACTCAACAGAAATTAACCACCTCGAAACCATTTCAACCGCGCAACATAGCCATCATTTCCCAACTTGGGCAAACCAGCATGCGCAACTCGTTCCGTGCGCCAACTCGCCACCATTCCCCTGTTCTTTCCGCTCCATCCTCATTCTTCCAACTCCAAACCTCTTCGCCTGCATTCCTTTCTCGACTTACCGCTCCACTTAGTTACGACAACATTTTCTTATTAGGGACTATTTATGGCCGCTAGCTTCGTTGTCGCTGGCTTCAACTTGTATCGTCCTCGCAACGATTAGCTTCCCCAATCGATTGCTTCTCTAGTACTCGCTCGCTGACCTCGTTTTCCTCCGGAGCGGTTTCTGGTGGGGTTGAGTCTTCTCCGTGCTGTCGATACGGCGATGAAGCAATGATATCCGGATAGTTATTTCGACCAGGTTAGTCTTCCAGTTCGGCGATACTTCTCTGCTAGCGTCGTTTTCTCGTGGATATAAAACTTCATTTTATCAGGGTTCTCATTTTGCGTTTGCACATCTCGGATGCCCATTTCCCGAATACACTTTGCTGTCTCGCCCACGCCAGTGGCACCTGCTCTACCGAACACGTTCCGTCGTGGCGACGCGATTTCTCATCCTCAGGCCTTCGTTCCCTCGTCGCGCGTGCTTCCGCGATTTCCGCACACTGTTCTGCGAAAGCTCAGTTACGACTTGCTTGAAATGGAGTTTTTCCGGTTGCTTCTTTCATCCCTACGACTCGTCACACTTTCTCTCTGCCTGCCTCTGAGTTGCATTCGATGCATTCAATCTGATAATCTCCGTTTGCGCTGCCTGCCTTCAGATACGACTGACAACGCTATCGGGGCAGCATGATCGGAATCGTCCTCGCGTCGTCGCATGGCGAATTGGCCGCGCGTCGTCGCACGGCGAAACTGTCGTCCGCGCGTCGTCGCGCCGCAGAATCGTTGCCCGCGCGTCATCGGACCACGAACCGACGTGGCACGGCGAAATGGTCGCACGGCAGCAGCAGCTCTCGATGCTTCTTCAACCGCCAGCTAATTGCGTCCCGCTGGGTGGGGGGGTGAGCAGCAGCTACGGCAGCCGCAGCAGCCCTCGATGCTTCTTCAACCGCCAGCTAAGTGCCTTCTCCTCCCTCCACTCTGTTGCTTTCATGTCATGCTTGCACCATGCATCATACTCCCCATTTCACTGCCCTCTGTCACACCCATGAGACCTCCCTCCCCCAAGGTAGCAGGTATTTTTTTTCTTGGTACAGTCTCAGGTATTCGTTTTTGTTTGGTTCAGCTGGTACGAGGTCTCTTGGGTGTGCCACTGCAGCAGTCCATTCATGCACGCATCATTCTTGCACCTGCTGCACTCTTCCCTCTCACTTCCCTCTTTGCTTCTTTCACTGCTCTCCCCACTCCTCTGGCCCCTTTCACTCCCCCGTTTTCTCCCCCCCCCCCTCCTACCTTCCTCTCTCTGTCCCGATCTGCCCCCTCAGCAGGTCGCTCACACGGGAGTGGCAGTGGCGGGGACTTGGAGTGCACAGGCAGCAGCTGCTCTCCACCCAACCCACCCACAGCTAAGTGTGCATCATTCTGCCTTCTTTGCATCGCATGTGATTTTTCATGATCCCTCTTCTGAATTCTCGCCACTGTTTGGGACCAGTCTTACAAGTCACAGACCCCACCCCTCACCCTTACTGCTGGTAACCCCCCAGGTTCAGGTTCAGCCCCCTTAAAGCCTTACAGTCCCCTCAGGTTCACCCCTTTCAGGTTCACTAGGGGGTCTGTGTCTTGTAGCTATGCCTCCACCAGTGGCCCCTCCCTCCTCTGGCTTTGTAGTTTGTTTGCCTAGTCGATTCGCCTTTAGACCACCACAGTGCACTTACTGCTGCTGTGTATGTGCCTTGCAGGTGGAGGGGAGGGGCGTGGGGGTCAACACCGCCACTCCCCCGCACCCCTCCCCTTGTGGCCGTGCAGGTGGCAGTGGAGGGACGGGAGAGGGGCAGCACTCCACTCGGCTGGGATGGGATGGGGATTGGGTATCAGGATTGGGTCGTCTGGAACAAGGTGAGAAAGTATCCCCTCGTGCACTCATGCTGCTGCTTGGATTCTCTCGATGCTCATTTCACATACTTTTTCCCTCCCTGCTTTCACGCTTCTGTCTGCCCTTCTCCCCATTCTCACTGCTGTCCCTTGCTCCCTTGCCTCCCTCCCTCTCCCCTCCCTCCCAGTGAAGGCTGTAGCAGGGCGGCAAGGGGGCAGCAGCCGGGCAGCAGGGGAGGGGATAGGAGGGGCAGCAGCAGCAGCAGCAGCAGGGGAAGCAGAGTAGCAGACCAACAGGAGAAGCAGCAGCAGCAGCAGCCATAGCAGCAGTGGGGTTAGAGGGCAGGCTAGGCTAGGTGTAGCTGCGGGTGAGGTATGGTACCAGGTGTGGTATGGTAACAGGTGTGGTATGATACCAGTGTGGTATGGTAACAGGTGAGGTATGGTAAGCTGATCCCCTCCTCCCTCTTCCCTCTTCTCCCCTGCAGGCTGAAGGTGGAAGCACTGGAGCAAGGGCGGGAGAGTGAAGTCCACCCTCTCACTCACCTCCTCCTCTCTCCCTTCTCCCTTCCCTCCCAGCAGCACCCTGCCTGGACCACAGAGGAGTCTCTCCCTCCCGTAACCCCCCTTCTCCTTCCACTTCCCAGCAGCCTCAGCATCATGGCGCTCTGCATGGCTGTGGTAAGTGGAAGTAAGTAGAGGTAAGGAAGCATGGGGGTTAAGTGTGGGGGGGGGGTGGGTGGGAGGGAGCATGGGAGCATGCAGTCAGGTCACTGCCTTAGAGGCAGCAGCCTCTGGGGTTGTGCCTTGTGGTGGTGGGGTGTGGTGGGTGGAATCTGCGCGGCACGGCACTCGGTGCTCAAGTAACCGATCTGGCGTTCAAGGCCTAATGGACACCGTCAGAGTCAACCGGCCGGCGGCTCTGGTTCGCGTCAGCTCTGGCTACGTCAGGGGTGGGATTTGAGGCTTGGGCTGGAAGCGCGTTTCCACTGCCACACCTCGCAACACAAGGCACAGCCTCTGCGGGTGCTGTTTCCCTAAGGGATTGGGCCGCCTGCTGCTCCTACTGCTGGCAAGTCAAGGTGAGGAGGGGCTGAAACCCCTTGGGAGGGCGAGTGGAAGAGAAGGGGCTGAAACCCCTTGGGTGGGTGAGTGGAAGAGAAAGGGGGCTGAAACCCCTTGGATGGATGAATGGAATTGGTGGGGACCTGAATCCCCCAGTGAGTGGCAACGGTTGGGGCCTTAATCCCCCAAGGTAAGTGGAGTGCGGGGCAATGGTGGGGACCTGAATCCCCCAGGGTAAGTGGAGTGAGGGGCAATGGTGGGGGCCTTAATCCCCCAAGGTAAGCTGAGTGCGGGGCAATGGTGGGGGCCTTAATCCCCCAAGGTAAGTGGAGTGCGGGGCAATGGTGGGAGCCTCAATACCCCAGGGTAAGTGCAGTGAGGGGCAATGGTGGTGGGGGCCTGAATCCCCCAGGGTAAGTGCAGTTGGAAATCGCTTATGTGGTAAAGTGAGGTGGAAGGGGGCTGAAACCCCTTGGGTACAGTTTGGGATGATACACTCTGGTGTGATTCACTTTGTTATCATTCCAGTGTAGTATGATTCAGCGGTATCATACGGTGTGGTATGATACAGTGGGGTCTGATACATTACGGTATGATACAGTGTGGCATCATTCAGTGTTGTATGATACAGTGTGGCATCATTCAATGTTGTATGATACAGGTGGTGTGATACAGTGTGTTGTCATACGGTTGGTGTGATAAGGCATGATGCAGTGCGGTTGGATGCACAGTGACAGGATATGATTCTGTGTGGCTTGTTACTGCGTGACATTCTGGTTTGGCATGTCATTTTGTGGCATGGCATGGTGTGGCATGATATCATGCCATATCCAGGCTGGCAGCATCTGGAGGGCAGTGGAGCACGATGGAAGCAAGGAGGACAGTGTGGGAGGGAAGAGGAGGGAAGGGGGGTTGGGGAGTGGAGGTGTGCCATGCGGCAAGCATGGCTGCCTCACCTGCCATGCCCTTCGGATGCATTGCACGAGGAGGGAAGAGGAGGGAAGAGGCGTTGGATTGGGAAGCGGAGGTGTGCCGTGTGGCAAGCATGATTGAGTGCAGAATGAGTATACAGATGCCGTAGTGCCCTATGTACGTTTTTTTAGATAAAACTTACATTTGTAACAGAGACTGACCTGCAATTTGGGCTGTGGGTTTTAATAAAACCCACATTTGGTAATGGAGAAAAACTGGAACAAGATGATGTGATGCGATAACGTGAAAAAGCATTTCACTTTGCTGCAGAATGTCATGAAACGGTGTGAATTATACAAATATGGAAGTGAGAAGGACTTCACTTAGAATTATAATCAAAACCACTTAGTCTCGTTAGCACATTGTGAAATTATAGCTTTTGCGCGTGATACCAAAAAGTGTTCTTGAAGTATTCTGGATTTATACCTCAGAGTGTATTGAGTCGGCACGACCTGACTGCCATTGCACGTAAAGCAAAACCCTTGGTTTTTCCATTTGGATTAGGGCAAACGTGTGGTTTTGTAGTTTCTGGCTTTCCCAGTGCTACGAAGGAGAGCCATAGCCGATCTTGAGCTCTCCGTTAAGCTCTATTGACGGAAGGAAATCCCTCAGTCTCGGTCTTGCTGCTCCGTTCGAACGTTACGCCCGCCATGGGGAAATCTGAGAACCCGCGGGTGTTTTTCGACATTTCAATGAGCGGCAATAAGGCTCAGCGTGTTGTGATGGAGGTGCGTAAAAGTAATGTTTCCAATTTGCATCTCGTTTTGCTCGCCGCTTGTTGTAATTCTCCTTGCTGCTAGCCTATCAGTGAGTCCGGACTCTTGGGTCGATTATAAAGTCACCTCATTTTTCTCCCGGCTCTCGATCAGCGATCCTTTCTCGTGCATTTTTCCATTCGCGGCCATCGCGGTAACTCTCTCTGAGCGCTTGACCGACATTGAGCTCCATTAACCCTCCGCTCTCTCGCAGCTATTCGCGGATGTGGTGCCGCGTACAGCGGAGAACTTCAGAGCGCTTTGCACGGGTACGTCCGTTTCTCCCTTTGCTACGATCTGGTTTCATGGTGGTCACAATAACAGTCGGATCGCCACATCTTATCAATGCTTACCAGCTAGCTTTTCGCGTCCGTGAAATAGCGCGCTCCTCTCCCTCTCCCCAACTTCCTCCCCCCCTACCTTCTTCCCCTCCCACCTGCTTTTCTTCCTACTGCGACCTTGTTAAAATGCGCCATGACATTACAGTTCATTATCCTGACATGCGTTGTTGCATCTGACCTACTGTCTATACTCTTTGCGGGTCAACGCGCGTGGCAGGGGAGATGGGAGAGGGCAAGTTCACGCGCAAGCCGCTGCATTTCAAGGGCACCATCTTCCACCGCGTCATCCCGGGCTTCATGGCGCAGGTGCGCTCGCGCTCCCGCCCTCCTTAAGAGGCGCGCGCCTAGAATATGGCACAGTTGCATTCGTTTTCAATTACTCCCTGCCTTCGTTTTCATTCCCGTTCCCGTCCCCTCTCCCAGCCCCTCTCGTCGTCTACCTCAATATCAAGTAGCGTAGCCCGTTCTGTGTCCTGTCATCGGTTCAAACAGCGAGTCCCCTTCCACATCCCCCTCCTCCATTCCCCCTCTTGCTCTCCCTCCCGGTGCCTCCGTGTGCGACGCCGTCGGGCTCCCTCAGGGCGGCGATTTCAGCAACAAGGACGGTACGTCCTTTCCGTTTTCCTTTCCTTCCGCGCTCATGATTCTCATCCCCCTCTCCGCCGTTGCGTCAATTTGCCGTCAAAAGCCCGAACCATTCACTGTTCAGCGTTATGATCCCCGCTCGGATCGCCATGCCACGTCACTCAGGATCACGTGCTCACTCGCTCACGTGCTCACTCGCTCACGAGCTCACTCGCTCACGTGCTCACTCGCTCACATGCTCGAACCTGAGTTTTGGGGCCGCCATTGTTTCCTGTGACTGTGACCTATTAATATTGTTCTCAATCGTTCCTTCCGCCATTGTTTTCCCCCGGTCCCCTTTCCAAAACCCCTCCCCGCACATACACATGCGCGCCCGCAAACTGGCCATGGTGAAAACAACTGGTGGTGGTCCAGGCACGGGAGGAGAGAGCATTTATGGCGGCAAGTTTGCGGGTCAGTCAGACCGCGTGCCTCGCTCATTGCATCCCTGACCCCCTTCCCTTCGGAAATGCCTAGCTTTTTGCTGTAATTTATACCCGCGCACTATGCATCCGCGCACCACATACCCGCGCACTATGCATCCGCGCACCACATACCCGCGCACTATGCATCCGCGCACCACATACCCGCGCATCCTGCCTTGCGTATGCCGTTGACCTGGTTGGCGAGAGCTATTCTTTCGCGCTCCCATGCATCCACTGTTCCATTCCATTCCCTGCCTTGCATCCCCCGCCGCCCCCACGCCCCCCCCCCCCACCCCTTCTGCTCTCCCCGCTCTCCTCCCCTCCTCAACCCTCCCTCCTCTCCTCCCGCTCCCCTCTCCACTCACACTCCACTCCGCCCGATCCCCCGTCCCCCACTCCCCCTTCCTCCGCGTGCGTGCTGCGTTCTCCCGTTTTCCACCCCAACGGCAGACGAGAGCTTCAAGCTACCGCACGCGGCGGCGGGGACTCTGTCCATGGCGAACGCGGGCCCCAACACGAACGGCAGCCAGTTCTTCCTCACCTTCAAGGCCACTCCTCACCTTGATGGGTGCGCTGGGGGGAAGAGGCGCGGGAGAGAAGGAGAGAGGGAGGGAGAAAGAGAGGGGAGAGAAGTGGGAGGAGGAAAGAGAGGGAAGTGTGGAAAGCGAGAGAGGAAAGGAGGGGGAGAGGCGAGGAGGTTGAGTGAGAGACGGGCGGGTGGGATGAGCGGGGAAGAAAGGTGTGGCACATGTGGCGAACGTCTGGACCGTTTCCCTCCTCTTCCTGCTTCCCCTTCCCGTTCCCCCCAGCATCCCCCCCCTCCGTCCCCCGTTCCCCAAACACAACCACCCCCCCCCCCCCTTCCCCCCCCCTCCCACCACCTTTCCTCCCCCCTTCGCGTGCGCAGCAAACACGTGGTGTTCGGGCAAGTGGTGGAGGAAATGGAGGTGGTGCGAGCTAGAGAGCCAGCCCACACGGTTGAGTGCCTTGCACTTCCGCTTCCTCACCGCTCATCCCCCTCTTTCCACTTCCCTCCTCTTCCCTTTTCCTTCCCCCATACCCCCTCCCCTCCCCCAATCTCCCCCTTGGACCCCCATCCCTCCCCCTTTCCCTCTTCCCGCTCCCCTCTCCACCTTTCCGCTCGTTGCCTCCGCAGCAAACACGTGGTGTTCGGGCAAGTGGTGGAGGGAATGGAGGTGGTGCGAGCTATAGAGAGCCAGCCCACGGGAGACAGGGACCGCCCTGTGTTCCCCATCAAAATCACCAAGTGCGGCCAGCTGCCTGCTGCTGCTGTTGCTAGCGGCGGGAAGAGCGGGAAGAAAGCGCGAGGAGAGGAGAAGGAGAAGGGCGAGGAGAAAGTTGAGGAGGAGGAGGAAGAGGGTGGGAAGGGAGGGAAGGGCGGGAAGAGCGGGAAAGGGAAGGAGAAAGAGAAGGAGAAGAGGAAGGAGGAGAAAGCGAAGAAGCGGCGACGGGGAGAGAGTTCTGAGGAAGAGAGTGAGGAGGAGGAGGAGGAGGAGGAGGACGAGGAAGAGGAAGAGGAGGAGAAGGGACGTAGCAAGGGAAAGAAGAAGAAGGGCGGTGGGAAGGGAGGTGGCAGTAAGGGGAAGGGCAAGAAGGCGAAGAAGGGAAAGCAAGGGACGAAGAAGAAGCGTGGGAAGGACGGTGGGAAGCGTGGGAGTAAGAGGAGGAGAAAGGATGAGTCTAGCAGTGATGACAGTAGCGAAAGTGACTCTGACGAGTCGTCTTCTTCTGATTCCGATGCTAGTTCGGACTCCCAAAGCAGCTCGTCAGGCTCGGAAGGCTCGTCAGATAGCCGAAGCTCAGAGTCAAGCTCGGAATCTGACAGCGGCAGCTCTGGTGACGAATCCGAGAGGAAGGGGAAGAAGGGGAAGGGGAAGAGCGGTGGTAAGGGAAAGGGTAGAGGAAAGGGGTCAGCTAAAAAGGAAGACGAGAGGAGGGGGAAGGGGAAGGGGAAGGGCAGCGAGGGTGGGGAGAAAAACAAGGGGAAAGGGAAGCATGGAGGTGGGAGGAAGGATGATGATGATTGGGAGGTGGATGAGGAGGAAGAAGGCAAGGGGAAGGGAAAGGGAAAGGGGAAGGGGAAGGGGAAGGATAAGGAGAAGGAGAAGGAGAACGAGAAGGAGAAGAGCAAGAAGGTAGAGAAGGGCGAGGAGAAAGGGGACGGCAAGGAGGGGAAAGTGAAGGTGCAGGGAGCGAAGGGTAAAGGGCAAGAGGAGGATGAGAGTGACGATGAGCAGAAAAAGAGGAAAGAGCGAGGTCGAGGGAGGGAGGAGAATGGGGGAGAGGAGGAGAAGAAGGGAGCGAAGCAGGTCCAGGAAAAGGGCCGCGGCAAAGGGGAGAAGGAGGGGCGAGGAAGCAAGGGCAAGGGAGGGAGCAGGAGCAAGGGGAAGAAGAAGAGGTACGTGCTTTTGAGAATTCTCCTTGTTGCTCCTCAAAAACACCCTGCCACTCTTGAGTCGACTCAAAAGTCAGCGAGGTACGTGCTTTTGAGAATTCTCCTTGTTGCTTCTCAAAAACACCCTGCCACTCGAAGCAGAAGAAGAGGTACGTTGGGCAGAAGGGAAGGGAAGGTGGGGACTTTGTGGCGCCCCAAAGGATGGTGAAGTGCGTCTTCATGGTGGTTGCTGTGGCGCGGATTTTGTGCTCGAATGGTATCCTTTGTCCGGTTGTATGCGCCAGGTGGGCTGTCATGTGGGCTGTCAGGTGGGGCCATGGTTGGGAACGCATGCAGTTCTGCTTGTGGTAGTACCACGACGTGATGAACACGTCCTTGCGTTGTGCCTCGCTGTGTGGTGCCGTGGTGCAGCAAGTATTCGGATGAGGAGGAGTCAGACCGTGGTGCATCCCGATCGTCTAGCGAGAGCAGCAGCGGCAGTGAGGACGAGGAGGAGGAAGAGAAACCAGGTCGCAAGGACAAGGGTGAGTTCAATTCAAAGCAGGAAGAGGGAGAGTTGCATGGAGAGAGGGGAGGATGAGGGGGGACTGGGAAGAGGAAGTTCTATGGGGAGGGAGGGTTGCGGGGTTGGAAGATGCAAGTTGGGAAGGGCGAGTTGAGATGGGAGGTGCGGATTATAACTCCTCCATGAATTGTGCGGTAAGGGGGATTGAGAGGGAGAGGGAGAGGGAGAGGGAGAGGGGAAGGGGGACGGAGAGTGGGGGTAAGCACGAAAGTGTTGAGTGGTTATCAGCTGCATTGTGTGCACTGTGAATTACCTGGCCTGCTGCTAGTGATTGCTGCCCCATCTCTCGCCCTCTAATATCTCATTCTGCTCTTTTGGATGTTTTTTTTTCCTATGTTGTGTTGCTGGCTGTGGTGAGCTGTGCGGTGCTGTGTGGTGCGTTTCTCTGCTGTGCTTGTACTTCATTGGTACTTCAACTGGACTGGCTGCCGGTTTGCAGGGAAGGGCCACGGGGTCAGAAAGGGCGAGCAGGATTCAGGAAGGCGAGACGGGAAGGAGAAGGGTGAGAAGGGAAAGGGCAGTCAGAAGAATCGAGCAGAGAGGAAAGAGAGCAGTAGCGGGCGCAAATCCCAGGCACAAGAGGGAGAGGCAGAGCGTGAGACAGAGCGTGAGGAGGAAGGTGGGAAAAGGAAGGCCAGAAAGCTCTCGGGAAAGGTTGATGCAGACGCAAGCAAAGATGGAGTGGGTGATGGGGGGGATGAGGGAAGGGCAGAGGCGAGGCGCGAGGGGGCGAGTAGCGATAGGGATAGCGATAGGCCAAGAGGAAGAGCTGGGAGAGACGATCAGGATGCTCCTGGTGAGAAGAAGGCAAGGAGGAAGGGGAGTGAGAGGATGAAAGGGGATGGTGGCAAGGAGGATGTTGTGGAGAAAGGGGTTGTGGATGAGGGTGGAGCGGAGCAGGAAGGAAGTGTGGTGGAAGAGAGGCGTGAGAAGATGAGGGTGGAGGGAGGAGGCAAGGGGAGTCGGGGATCTGGTCGAGGGATAGCTGGGGATAACAATGAGGAGGAGGAGGAGGAGAAGAAGAAGGAGAAGAAGGGGGAGGGCCAGGTGGAGGAAGAGGATTGGGGTGGGGATGTGGATAGGATGGCAGTGGAGATTGGCAGGGGCGTGGGTGGAGGAGGAGGAGGAGGAGGACAGGGAGGTAAGGCGAGAGGGGGAGACGGTGCAGGCAGAGGGAGGCAGCTGAAGCAAAGCAGCGGCGCAAGAAGCAGGTCACCTTCTCGCTCTCCTCGTCATTCCCCCGCTCCCCAGCGATACAGCTCCCCCGCCCGTTCCCACTCTCCCCTCCGCTCCCATTCTCCCCGACAGTACCGCTCCCCTCCTCGCTCTCGCTCGCCTTCTCGCTCCCCGACCCCCCCTCCTGCACGCAAGCGGGCTGCTGGGAGTGTGCATGACAGGCTGGGTGCAGCCCCTGCTGCTGCCGCGGCTGCTGTTGTTGCTGCTGCTGCTGCTGCAGCTGCTGCTGACACTGCCACTGCGCTTCCAGCAGGAGTAATCCCGCCTGTTGAGAGGCTTACCCCTGCCTCAGCAGCAGGTGGTGATGCTGCTGCTTCTGGTGTTGCTGCTCCTGCTTATGGTGGTGATGCTGCGGGCGGTGGAGGTCCGTTGCGGGTGCGCAAGGGCAGGGGGTTTTCGCAGCAGTTTGCGTTTGCTCGCAAGTACCGCACTCCGTCCCCCTCTCCTGAGCCGCTTCCCCCTGCAAGGTTCAGAGGCAGGGGGTACGGAGGAGGGTACGGGGAGGGCGGCAGAGGGAGGCTGTACGGCCGCAGGTGAGAAGGGGTCGTGTTGGCGGTCGGTGTTTTTTCTTGACAGGTAGCAGTAGCATGTGCAGTGCCGCATGTGTGTATGGTGTGATGTGGTCGTTTCTCAACATGTGCTGTTCCGAAATGGGAAATGGGCTGTGATGTGGCGCTCCTTAACACGCGAAATGGGCTCTACTCATTGCCGAATGAACTCTCGATGTGTGCTGAATCTGATCCAAGCCTCCCTACTATCCCTCCCCTTCTCTCCCCGCCATGGCAGCGATTATGACGACGCCAGGGGAGGGAGTGGCAGGGGATGGGGAAGTGGAGGAGGGCGGTACAGGGACCGCAGTGACAGCCCCCCGCCCCGTAGGAGGAGCCCTGATTGGTCGAGAAGCCCGCCGAGAAGGAGGGGACGAGGACGGGGAAGGTGAGAGGCCAAGGCCCGGGATTTCACTCGGTGAATGGGGAGTGTAGGAAGTGCAGGAAGCGCAGAAAGTGCACAGCACACTCCCCTGGTTGCTCGTTGCTTGGATCCACATATGGCTCACTGAGTGAGCATTGTCTGATATCTGCAAACATATGATTTTGGTCACTGGGATCACCTTGTCCAGGTGAATAGCAATCTGTCTATTGTGTGCTTTCTCGCTGCCTGCTCGCTTGCATCATCCCATAACGTCCCTCCCACCCTAATTTTCCCCCGGCTGTTATTTTCCCCCCACCCTAACGTCCCTCTCACCCTAACGTTCCCCTTACCAGGTACCGGTCTCCTTCCAGCCGCAGCACCTCATACAGCCGTAGCCGCAGTCGCACCCGCAGCCGAAGCCGCAGCCGCAGCGACACGCCTCCCCGTGCACGCACCACCACCACCACACGTGCCCGCTCCCCCAGCCTCTCTCGCTCGCCCCCTCCCCGTCGCTCTGCCCGCGACAAGCTCACCACCCGCAATGCCAGCCCCCTCAGGGAAGCAGCTGAGGCGGCTGCTGCTGACGGTGGTGGTGGTGGTGGTGGTGGTGGTGGTGGTCTGACCACTGTGAGGCAGACACGTGGCGCTGCAGGATTGGATGGGGAGCAGGGAGGAGGTGGTGGTGGCAGGGGCGGCGAGGGGTCCAGTCTTAACGGCACAGGGGTGGCAGCAGCAGCAGCAACAGCAGGAGATGCAGGAGGAGATGCTGGAGTGGGGACAATAGCTTCCCCGTCTCCTGTGGGAATGAGGTCTCCCAAGGAGGCCAGTGGAGGTGGTTTTGGCTTGGGGAATGCTGCTGATGCAGGTGCTGATGCTGGTGCTGATGGTGAGCGGTCAGTGCGACTGGGTGGTAGGGAGGGCAGGCTGAGGAGGCAGAGGGAGGATGACGATGAGGAGGAGAGTGATTGATTCCATCATCGCCCGGATATAAGACATATATGTCTTATCTCGTACACTAGAAAAAATGCTTGGGTTATCTTGTATTTGGGGAGGTTTTGGGTGTCTTATAAGGGTACATTCCGCTCAGGACATGTCCCTTAAGAAAGTGTCGCAATTGATTGTGACGCGTACTTACAGCATATGCTGCCATGTGTCGAGATTTCGAACCGCTGAACAAAGTCGTCAAATGTAATTTCGATTGGATGACGCAACCCACGGAATTGTCGCCGGCTAATTGGGTGCCAGCGCGACAACGACCTGCCATCGCACGCGGTCCCAAATGTCAATCCCATCTGCATGTACCTGGACATATTGGGACAGTTCGTTTTCTCCCACCGAACGCGTACCACGAAGCGGGATTGGTGAATCTAGGTTCTCTCGCACTTATTGACTATCCCCCGCATGCATCTCCCGCCGATGCCCATTACACATTCACCGCTCACCCCTACTCTTCCGGCCTTCGTTCACCGTGATGTCCCATTTCTCTCCTCATTCAAACCTCTGTCCTTGCAGTCAGAACTAGTGTGTCCCAGCTAGATCTAGAAATTCGCATTACAGCGACATGCCTCGGAAGCGTAAGAGCCAGGACCGTGACGACTGCCCCAATGACCTCAACGAGATCCCTTACATCCGATGGATGAATCAGCAAATCGCCAACGGCCGTCATCCCACCGGATTATCCGCTCCAGTTGCGCCAGACCCTCAGGGTTCTAGTGCACAAACGCCCCACGCGGGTCCGTCTCGCGTGCGCAAACAGCCTACCAGGTCCGCCGCCGTCCAACGACCCGCATATGAGCTGGAGGAAGAGGAGTCCGACTCAGAGTACTGCGGCGATGCAATCGGCACTGACGATGACGATGACGAGGAGGATGATCTAGGAATGTCAAAGGACGAAGAAGTTGACAACGAGGACGACGACGCCGCGGAAGAAGAAACGCAGCCGGTGACGCCGCCGCCTAAAAGGAACGCCAGCAAGACAACCGGCGCTGTGAAGCAAAAGGGCAAAGCGCCTGTGGAGGAACCGCGACCGGAACCACGCAAGAAGCGGTCGACTGCCCCCCGCGTGAAGAGCATGTGGTCTGACCGCGAAAGCACCATCTTCGTTGCCGCAAGGTGGTTCACCAAGGACGAGTTTCAGCCGCTCAAGGGGAAGCAGGGCACGCAATACTGGGCGCGCCTTCTCGCGCATATCAACGAGGAGAACCTGGATTGGATCCGGGGGATCAACGCGTTGCAGAACAAGTGGCGCAACCTGATGCTCCTCTGGAAGGAAAACAAGCGGGGCAATGGAGGGTCTGGAAATGCCTCGGTAGAGAAACCACCGTGGTGGCCATACATGGAGGAGTAGGGACCCGTAATCACCTCTGCGTAAGAGCGCGGGGTCGGGATGTCTGGTGCATCCGGGTCTCCCTCAGGGGCAAGCAGCGCATGGCCACGAGATGAGGTACAGCAGCTGCAAGACACTCAAAGTCCTCCTGCCTATCCTCAAGGACGTCCGTGCCAAGAACACACTCACCCCCGACGGACGGAGGACAGTCAGACTCAGCATCAGCAACAAGACTAGTGGCGTAGTCGAGACGACAGGCGGCAGCAAAGTCAACAAGCTCAGCAACTAGGGCAGACGCAGCAGTGGACTCAAACAAAGGGTCAGTGATAACAGTGGCTAGAAGATGAGGAACAGTAGGACTGGCAGCATGAGCTAAGTCAGACGCAGGGCCAGGAACGCCAGGAAGAGAGGACGCAGGAGGAGACTGTTAAGATAAGCTTAGTAGGTCCTGGGGGTTGGGTGCCAGGCAACTATCGAGAGTAAAAAGGAAGGATGCAAAAAGGTGTTTGATAAGGAGAGAAGGTACAAGGATATAGGAAAAGCAAGCAAGGTGCACCACCAAACAAGTTTAGCACTACACTAAGTCTATACTACAGGCAGTTATAGCATAATGTATACAATTATATTCTGACACACCCCCTAACTGCCTGCAGTGAAGAAACCATGTGCAGGAACTCCCCCTGAAGGGGTACACCACGCGCAGTGGAAGACGGCAAGGAGGTAAATGAGGAGGAGGAGGAGGTGAGAGAGAGAGAGAGAGAGAGAGAGAGAGAGAGAGAGAGAGAGAGAGAGAGAGAGAGAGAGAGAGAGAGAGAGGAGAGGAGAGGGATGAGGGGGGGAGCCTAACGCGGCGAGCCCCTCTTACGAACCTCTTTTTTACAAAGGGGGGGGGGTGAGAGAGGGATGAGGAGAGGAGGTGGGGGGGAGCCTAGCGCGGCGAGCCACTCTTACTAACCCCCGTTTTACAAGGGGGGTGAGGTTGAGGGGGGTGGCTGAAAGGGGGCGTGGAATTAGGGGGTTAGTAAGAGGGTAGCAGCAAAGTCGACGAGCTCAGCAACTAGGGCAGACGCAGCAGTGGACTCAAAGGAAGGGTCAGTGACGACAGTAGCAAGGAGACGCGTGACAGTAGGACTGGCAGCACGAAGAGAGTCCGACTCCGGGTCGGGAAGAGCAGGAAGAGAGGACTCAGGAGGAGAAGGCAAAGGGGCACGCAGAGGAGCAGTGGACGGACGCAAAGACATCCGGTGCGTGCCAGGGACAGGAGGAGGACGCTGACGCGAACCACGACCACTAGTGCGACCACGAACAGGCGACGCAGGGCGAGACGCAGGCTCACGACGCTCAGCAAGACCTTTAGTAGGACCAGTGTAGGGAGAAGGAGCGGGCAGTGGGGAGGCCGGCTGTAACTGTAACTGTGACGGGACAGGCTGTGGACACTCTAAGGGAGGAGGAGGACCAGTAGAAGGCGGGAGACCAAGAACCTGCTGAAGGAGCGGAACGAAGTACGGCCGAGGCCGCGCGGCGACTCCAGACACAGCAGGGACAGCACCAGTACCCCCAGCGGCAGGACCAGCGCCAGCAGCACCCCCAGCTCCAGTACCTCCAGCACCAGTAGTACCCCCAGCAGGACCGCCTCCAGGACCGACAGCAGTAGCCTCAGCGCCAACACCCTCAGCAGCTCCAGCTCCAGTCGTACCCGCAGGCCCAGCAGCTCCAGTACTCCCAGTACGAGCACCTCCGGGACCCGCGGCACCAGCACCCTCAGCAGCCGAAGAACCTCCAGCTCCAGCAGCACGCCTCCAGCGCCGGGCAAACCACTCGCGCAGCTCCTGTGGAGAGAGTGGCTCCCGCCGAGACGAAGCACCCGGAGAACCTCCAGGCTCAGCACCGCCAGACGCCACACGAGCAGGCCCAGCTCCCTCAGGCTCCGCACCCCCAGGCTCAGCATCTCCAGGCGTGGCACCCCCAGGCTCAGCACCCCCAGGCGTAGCACCCCCAGGCTCAGCACCCCCAGGCTCAGCACCCCCAGTAGTAGCACCCCCAGGCTCAGCACCCCCAGTAGTAGCACCCTCAGGCTCAGCACCCCCAGGCGTAGCACCCACACGCTCAGCACCCCCAGAGTCAGCACCCCCAGGCTCAGCACCCTCAGCAGCACCAGAGTCACCAGTAACCTCGACAGGCTCGACTGCGTCTACCTGGGACACACCTGAAGGGGCAGGACCCTGAGGGGGGAGGGGGTCTACCGGGGGGGGACCTGGCACAAGGAAGAGCGGTGGCGGGGGGAGGGACGGAGTGCGGTAGGGGAAGAGGCGGTAGTAGGGGACCGACTCGTCAAACGTGACGTCCTGGGAGGACAGAACACGGCGAGAGGTGGGGTGGTAGAACTGCCACCCTGGCGCGTCAGGGGGGGAGCCAAGGAAGACGCAAGGAGCAGCACGAGGGGACAGCTTGTCCGCAGACAAGTCACGGACAAACGCCCGAGATCCCCAGACACGGAACGCAGACGCATCGCCAACCTTCCCCGTCCACAGCAAAGCTGGGGAGGTCTCCGGCATGGAGACCCTGGGGTGAAGGTTGATCTGATGCGCCGCGTACCGAACCGCAAACGGCCACAGAAAATGGGGGGCAGCCGCATGCATCATGGACGTACGGGCGACGTCCATGACCATGCCAATGCGGCGCTCAGCAATCCCATTTTGCTGTGGAGAGTCCGGAAGCGTGAAGGTCTGGCGGATGCCTCGTGCACGACAGTAGGCTCGCAGAAGGCCAGAGGAGAACTCTCCACCTCTGTCAGAGTGCAGACGCTGAACACGAAAGTCCGAGCCGAAGCTCTGCCTGAGCTGGAGACGAGCTGCGCGGATCCAGTCGATCAACACCTCAGTGACATCACCCTTGCTGCGCAAGGGGAAGACTGTGGTGTAACGCGAGTAGTCGTCAACCACCAGCAGGAAGTAGCGCTCGTGACCCTGTCCACGGACGCGGGCCGGGCCCCACACGTCCATGTGAAGCGTCTGCAGCGGGGCCTCTGTCGGAGGAAACTGGGAGGAGTGAGGGGCAGCCCGCTGCCACCCCTCGACACAGGGGACGCAGGTAGGGCCAGGCCCCGGAGGAAGGGGAGGGAGGGACCGGGGAAGACCAGAGACAAGGACACGGGAGGCCATGCCTCGGAGACGAAGCAGGGAGGGGTGACCAAGGCGGTGGTGCCAGAGGAGAGTCTCGTGAGACAGGAGGCGACACGAACAGGGGGCAGACTCAGGACCAGACCTGGACGCTGCAGCAAACACCTGACCCGACGCAGCTACCTGACCAGACGCAGTGACTGGAGGAGACGCAGTGGTCAGTGTGTACAGGCTCGACCCCGGCCGACGTGTAAACGTGGCCAGGTGTCGGCCTGTCCGAGCGTCCGTGCAGTGGGTCACCCGCTGACTCGCAGGAGTGAACTGGTGAACCCCCGCATCCTGTAGGTCAGCACCACTCACCAAGTTCGTAGAGAACGAGGGGAGGTAAAGACCAGACAGGGTGCCAGAGGGGGCCGCCGGACACGAGAGGACAGTGGAGAAGTGAGCAAGGACAGGACCCCCAGAGGGGTCTGCCAGAGAGACTGCAACTGGCCGGCCAAGCGGCGTGAGTGTGGTGCGGTCTC